ATTTTAAAAAATTTATTTTTGCAACTTCAAAATTGAAATTAAAAAAGTCAAAATAAAGAAAAAAGATATGTAACAAAGGGCGATGAAGGTAAATCATGTATGTGAAAGTTTTATTCGAAGATTTGGTCAGTTTTTCTCATATCAGCCTACACAAGATTTAAAATTAATCAAACCCATAATGGTGGTATCCACTACTTACCAGATTTAAAAGTCAAAGCTTAAACGATTCTATTAAGGCCATAAAAGTTTAATTTTGTTTCTAAAAGCGTTGGTGGATGTCTAACTATATTACATGCAACAGATGTAAAGATAAAAATGTTTCTATTTTGTGTCCTTTCCCCGTTGCAAAGCACGGGTACAACAGCTAGTCTGCAATAAAATGTATATTAAGTTTTACAGTTAGCAGGGAAGTAATAGAGCGGATTTTTACTTTCTCTCCCTATACATAGTACATATGTAGAGAAAGTACCTATTTTTTTCGTCAAAAAATTTCGAGTGGATATATCTGTCCCTCTGGGCCCAAAAAGTGGTTTTCTAAGTGATGTCTATGTGTTTGTGTGTCTGTATATGTGGATGTGTACAGAGCTACAGACTACTCCTGTGGACCGATTTTGATTAAATTTGGTATTTAGGTAGTAATCTATAGTAACTCCAGGCTTTTTTTAATTTTTTTAATTTTGATTTTAATGGTGATTTTCAAAAAAAATCCATAAACGGACAAAATCAAGCTTTTACAAAAAAGGCCCAAACGGGTTTGATTGAAACTTAGTGAGTTTAGACTAATTTTTAAACCCCAATTGCTTTAAAAATTACAGTTTAAAAGCTATTGTAATTTATGCGGGTTTTCCATACAACCTATAAAATAACGGAGATATCGAATTTGTTCTAAATAGATCGACTAATGTTGATGAAAATATAGTATTTTTTATCATCCTTATGATTCTAAACAAAATAGTTCCTCCCCCCCCCCCATTGCTGTAAAAATTACGGTTTAAAAGTTATAGATTCTTTGTGATTTCCCCCATAAATATCATAGCTACTCCCAAAATTTACTCCATGATAAAGTTTGGAAACGTGTGTGTTGCTGATATTGTTTATTTTATTTGAATTTCATGAAACTAATTAATCAGGTATTTCCCAAATGACCAACCAAGAGTTGCTAAAACTAAGTAAACACAGTGTTCACGTGGTATAACGCATTATCAGTGATTAAAGTTCAAAGTTTGCGTTATCAGTGAGCCTTGGCCATTGTTATTCTAAGAACAATCCACCAATGGCCGTTGACGCTATAGTTGCGCAATACTTACGATTATTATACCAATATTTGACTAAGCATTGGAAACACTTGACAATGCGAGACGAGACAATCTCAGTCTTTAACACAAATATTTTTGTTTATTTTTGGACCAACGTGAGTGGACAATTTTAGGTGGTTATTGACTTAATCCTGTGTTACTTTTTAACTAGCTGTTACCCACGGGCTTCCTTCCATTTGACTTCATAAGTAATAAAACTATTGATTGGTTAAGTTACGCTGAAATAAACAAAACAGAATACAGTAATACAAACAAATAATCACACCCGATTTTAATAAGGCAATGAATTGAAAGAACAACATACAAATAAGTACAGCTGAGGTATTTTTAACATAAAGTTTATGGAAAGTTCTCTTTAGAAAGGAATTACGACCTTAAGGGCAATTTATGGAATAATGGATAGTTTTGCGCAAGGTTTCTCGTCATTACGAACATTTTAAGTATATGGCTTATGGGGGTGTGACTTTTAGTTTTCTCAAAAGTTCATGGGTACTTTTGGCTTTATATATATAAATTCGATTGTTTATTTATTTGTTTATTTTACTATCTGTTTAACCTTCCAGTGGTCAAGAAATGAATTAATGATAATAAACAAAAATAACAGTATATGCAAGAAACAAATAAATAAATAAAAAGGTCTTTATTTAGCGATCATTTTTCAGATAAAATAATCTGCTTTTCAAAACAACTCTTGTCCTTACTACTAATAAACTACCTATTCAGAAAAACTATAAAACAATATATAAATAATCCATGAAAACAATGTAAAACTATCCATACCAACAATCTATTTAACAATCTTAAAATAATAAAAAATCTATAACAAACATTACTTACATTACTAACATTACTACATTATTTGTTTTTTTAAGTTCTACAAAATGGTTTGGATAGAAAATGCCAAATTTTATGTTTTTGATTCAAACATGGGAAAACCCAATTTTTACCCCATAAAACTAATGGGTATATAACTCATTATAACTAAATTAACTAAAATTAAACTAATGGGCCATATAAACCCCTATTCCAAATTTAGGTTTACACGTTTGTACCAAATTTCATCAACATCTGAATATATGTGAATTTTAACAGGTATTTTTGGCTTCTAGGGACCTCAACACGAAAATCAAATCGGACCCGAGTCCAGGTCTTACCATGATTACTACGGTAATAGCTTATTCCATATAGGAAAATTCCCTAAAATCACCAACAAATTAGTTATATTATAAGTTCTCCTTGACTTCAATTTTATGAGACTCTGTCCTCTTTAAAAGCTGCGCACTTCTTTATCTTAACTGATAACCCTATAATCAGCGCAACCTTTAATTGTAATTAAATTAGTGTTTGAGGCTCCATCTGGTTTAAAAATTACTATGGATTGAACAAAGTGTTTATAGGACTATGTTTTGTTTACAATTACTTTGAAACAAAATACTTGCACTGATTACAGCTAACACACAGAGACTGACATGCTGTAATTAAATTTTCGGTGATCCTTTTCATAAACTAGTGTTATGATAGATTTTTTATTCAGTGGATTTGTAATCAATTATGTTATCCAAGATCTCTGATACGGAGTTTAAAATAAACGAAGAATATGTAGTTTTGGTAGTTCATAACTACAACTTTTGTTAGTAAGTGTGATTTTGAGACTACGAAAATGGTAACCTCAACTTTAATTGGACAAATTTATTGTTTCATTTTAATGTTACTCATACACAAAAATTGGCTGAAAAAATGTCCTCCTTCATTTTGAATGTTAAGTTGTTGTTTGTAAAACTTCCAAAATCATTAACAGCTCAGAAGGTATAAACGATGACTTTTGGATACTGCAGTTTTGTATCCAAAGTCAAAGAAAGGTATTAGTATCGTAACTTTGTCATAGATAGTATTTTAAAACGTTTGCAACATACTTTAAAGTTTAGGAAAACAACGAGGAAAGCTGAGAAATGTGATCTAATGTTTACACTAGTCGAATGGAAAATTCTAGCTTCGATTGACAAAGTGCATTGATCTCTGTTAGTTGAAACATACTGACCTTGAAATAACAACAATAATTTGATATATATATGAAAACACATATATTATTCAGCCTGGGGTAACAGGATGCCCAATAAAGGCTGAAAATCATGTTGACTATAAAGAAATTTCTGAAATTTTCAATTTTTTAATTTTTTTAGAAATATATTTATCCAAATATTATTTACTTGAATTCTATTTATCCTAGTATAAATGAAGCTCTGAATAAAAAATTGTAAACATTTTTGCAATCAGACGAACCGATTATGTTATTTTTTGGTGTAAGAAATTTATAAAGTATTTATACGAGGATAAAATATTTACATACTAAATCAACTTTCCTAAGCTGCGTTCTTGAAAAATGCAGTTTCTAAATGTTTCATCTCATTATGATTTTCGTTATCTTATTAGGATTTTAAAGTGCGTTATTGTACCAGTTAGCCGGATTGAGCTTACCTTAAAAGAGAAATAACAAACAAACAATATATTTTATGTCCCCGTAAATCAGTAGCCTATATTATAGCACGCATGGTTTCACCAGCGAATCTTGTTTTTTCCTGCGTTGTTTCGGGTGAATTCGTACGTTTATCTGCTTGAACTATTTTGTTTTCTTATTTACAGCAGCGTTAAAAATACACCTTAAATAAACTGTATTAACAAACTCACATAATACTATAGATAAAAGGAGTATATGTCTACTTCTTTTAATCTATGATAATACTCTCTCCCATTAGCATTTTAAACGCCCTTAAATGGTAAGCGGTGAAAGAAACTGTGATATTTTATAGGTAAAATCACAAAAACTGCAATAACTTTTGAACCATATCGTTTACGTCATAGGAGGTTGTACCATTTTGTTTAGAATCAAAAGGACCATAAAATATTAAAGTCTTAATCAAATTTGTTGGAACAATTCATGTGAAAATCCGATTTCACCATTATTTAAAGGGGTTTATGGGGGGAAATCACTATTAAAAATAAAATTTCAAAATTATTATACATACGCCTGGAGATAATATGGATTATGACCCACATACCATTTTTCATCGAAATCAGACCAAAGGTATAGTCTGTAGCTTTATCTAAATTAAAGAATATTTTTAAACTTATGTTTACTGATCACTAATGGAATTACCACAAAAAGTCTTTCAACTTCGCAACAAATAACGTAATCGATTAATAGTCGATTTTACTTCGTATACAGAATATTTTAAGATTACTGTTTGAGAATTTTTCCTCTGAAGAAATCTTCTTTTCCCTTCCTGTCATGGGGGATAATCAAAGGGGGGCCTTAAAGCATGGTAACACTTCCCAAAATGTAGACTGCACCTACGTTATATTCTTGTAATAACCAACATGTATTCTGTAGGCTAAACGATTACCGTGGTATCTTCTCGTTGTTTCAGGATATTAAGCCTTATAAACAATTAGATACTTACTTCAAACTTTAGAAAAATGAAATAACTAATTTTCAAATTAATCATAAATTTTCTCAAATAACCTATCACACATCAGTTTCACGAGGGAAAAATCGGTAAACATTTCTCGAAAACGAAAAAAAATCACACAACACATAGTGGACAATTGGTTAAGTTTATATCAGAGTTCAAAGGTCGCCGTATAAATAAGTGACGGGGGGCAGAAACTAGCTCAGTTGCCGTGCTATAGTGCCAGTGACTTGTGTGTGTTGGCAGCAGTGATAGTGATGTTAACACTAGTGATAGTGGCAGCCCTGCTGGCTGTCACGACAGCTGATAGAGGGGGTGGCTTGAGTAAGTAACCCCTTAATTCATCCCTTAAAAATTGTTTAACTTTACAGTTTAATCATTGATTGAAATTTGTTTGTTGGAGAAGTGGGTTTTTGTGGTGGTGTTGTAAAAAAATGCCTCCCTACAGACACAGAGGATTTCCCCCTTAAAAAACACCTTCTTAAAGCAGAATTTTATATAAAGAATTTCATCTCCCTTAAAATGTTTAACAAATATTTTAACCGTCAACTGTAAAAAGATTTCTATGGTTTGAAAAGTGTGTTTTCTGGTGACTCTCTATAATGACTCATTTATTGGAGCCATGTAGATACGATATTGAGAGAAGCCAGTAGCTTGATGGTTCGAAATTGGACCCAGCTGGACCCCTTATCATAGGGCTTTAAAAATGTATCCTTACTAAACAGCTGATATTAGTTAGTAACAAAGCTACACAGATCATCTCACGTCATTCTACACTCTTCCATCACTCATATTTGCATTCAAATACCACCTAGGTGGCGTCCCCAATGGGGACTCCCCATCTCAACATTGATAATTGATTGAAAAGTATTTCCCCCTTAAAGTTGTTAAAACTCTTTAAAAATAAATTTTAACATTCTACTTTAACAATTGATTACATAACATTTGTCCAGAGGTATAAATAAAGAGGATTTCTCATTTGAAAATTGTCAAATTATTATTGCTAATCCTGCTGTGATATCATCCATAAAACTGAATGTAGGGTTTGTAGGGTATAACAGTTAAACCCCCCACCCCCCTTAAGATAATTCTGCTGGCAAGATTCAGACAATCCTGAATCTAGCCAAGGGATCGTGTTATGGTCGATGTGTTTAATAGGATTGTATTCTAATTGATAACAGAGGTTTCGCTAAATAGGAAAACCTAATTGTTTCATTTTGTTCTGGGATGTAGGCACTTTTGAACAAAATCATTTACACAAAATCTTGAATAATATTGATACTAGACTACTGATATACTTTCAAAGCTTTATTGTTAAAAAATCAACTATGTCAATTGATGTTAAAAAATTAACTCAAGAATTCCATTAACTCACGCATGCAGGTTTATAATAGGCCTATTTATAAATGAATATCTTAAATTCTTGTTGGATTAAAGCGAGAATCAGTGATGGAAAATATTACGTTTTACAATGGTTTTACATTTTACTATCGTAGAAGTATACATGACGATCTCATATCAAAGTTGTCGCCGGTTTTGCAGAAAATGTTAACGTGGTGGGATCGAAAATGAGTGTGTTGATTCTATGTTCTGGTTTCTGTTGGAAAAGTCAAGTTACAAACTAAGTCAATTTAATAGGGTGACTTTTAAACAAGTGCACTTATTGGTACTTTCCTGTTAAAGGGAACATTCATTATTATCGATGATTTTTTCTCGATATATCGATATTTTTATTTTCCGATCCATTACAAATTGACAACAACTAAGTGATCTTGTTTAGGCTAAAATATTCTAAGCTAACCTAACATAACCAACCAAACTTGCTGGGCCATTTAAAAATTCCGTTTGGGTTTGGTAATAGAAAAGGCAAGTTAAACACGGAATTTGTAAATGTTATAGCAAGTTTGGTTAGTTATGTTAGGTTATTTTTTTTAGAACCGTTTCATTTCATTATTGTTTGTTGATAGTGAACAATAGGCCTATTTATCGCGTAGTTGTCAGCTGATATGTTTCAATTTGTTAATATCGATATATCGAAAAAAATCATCGGTAATAATGAATGTTCCCTTTCAGGAAAGTACCCATTTATTATGATACATCAACTATTACAGTAACATGAACGAACAGAGAAACTATAATATTGAATTATCTGGTGTGACTCCTTAAAATTCTTTTACAGATGATCCACGGTCTAAACGGGATGTATCCTCTAAGTCAACGGCTTTACGCTGACAACTGTTTATCAACGTGTAAATGATTCACATGACAAAATAATATTGTATTTATGCTCGTCCCAGCACCACGGATATTAGAACGGAAACAGTGTAGCATAACATAAAAACATGACGTCACTGGATCGAACCTTATGCTTATAATCTTAACATCTTTGGTGTGGACGTTCTTGACAGTATCGTTAAGATAACAATATAAACAAGTTTACATTCTGGCCAGTGAATTAATTTGTCTGTGGTATATATGGTATATTTTATTAAAATATCCAAAAGTAAAAGGGTTTACACTGACCACTGTTTATCAAAGTGTAAATAATCCACATCACAAAAAAATATTATATTTACTTATTGTTGGACTCATATTATGCTCGTCACAGTAACATAATGTAGGCTATTAGATTCAACGGATATTATAACAGAAATGGCTGGTCCGAATCTTATAGTCTACTATAAACATTAACATAATAATGGTTTGGAGGATTTTTGACAGTCCTGTTTAAGTAATAATAAAAAACCTGTGTATTTTCGGGCCAGTGACGTCATTTGTTTATGTTTATGTCCCATACCGTTTCTGTTACAATATTTTAGATTCATACTAGACTAGACCAGACTGATTGTATCACAGCCGGAAAAGGGGTCCAGACTGTTATAAAGTGCTTCCTGATACAAGATCCCCTTTAGTTACCCCCCCCCTCCCCCCCCCAACGTCCCTTGACCCCTGGATACAGCTGATTAATTGAATAACTCGGTTACTAGCAAATGCAAAGACCGATGCAATAAGCTCTTGTTCAGTCGACCGTAAGTTATTCGCAATTGAGTTGTGGGTTCGTTTACAATTAGTTGACACCGTGGTGCAATAATTAGTTTTGTTTTTTGGTGCATCCATGTATAAAGGGGTATGAAATAATGCTTGGAGTAGGGCTGAAATTTAATTTATAATCAGTTGGAATTACTGTTGTAGTTCAAAAATGTATCTACGATTTAATTATAATCTTTTACAATGACAAACCATAAATATCCATCAGACAATTATAATTTCTATAGAAAAAAGGGATATCCGTGAAATTGTTAAAAATGTATGAAAACTTTTATTTTTATACAGGGTGTTTCCAAATTGTCTGGACATATTTTGTAGGCTTGTTCCTTTAGGATAAGACAAACATAAAAATGGCAAATGCCTAGATTTATGTTTGTCGGTCTGTTTGTGACTTTTAAGAATTATTTAATATCTTAGGCATTTTCAAGACAGAAATTGGTATAAATGTGTATTTTAGAAGGTACAAAAACTTACAAAGTTTCGTTCCAAAATATCTCAAGCCGTTTTAATATGGCAGCCATAAAATATTTAGTGCTAAATTTCATAAAAACGTAAGTACCGTAAAACGGGGTAACTTGAGACAGTGTGGTAACTTGAGACAATTTGCAGATGTTTTTTTTTACATTTTTTTGTTGGCATACCTGATGACTTATTGGGAGTTTCCTTAGTGTGAACACGTCTTGGAAGTTGATCCCTTAACACTGTATATTAAGACATATTGTGATATTCAAGGTTAGATACTTTATTTATTTATTTATTTTGAGTTACAAATGTTCAAAAATTATAGGCTGTATAACTTACCTTGTAGCATCAAGTCTATTATTAGGAATACAATGATTGTTATTACTTACCTAACCTCAAAAGCTGAGTTGTCAATAATAATCTTCTCACTAAGCTATTGCCAACCTAAAATTTATAAAAAAATAAAATACCCTGTTCTGTCCTTGGTGGGGTAACTTGAGACAACTGATTTGACGAAGAAGGTGCTACAGTCAGTGCTATGAAGCGGACTCTCAAGGATAACTGGAAATGGCCGGAAAAAAGGATGAACTTGACTATCGTTGGGAAGATATTGTTGGTGGTATTAACCCCCCTAAAATGTTCAATAAGAGGGGTTTTTTTCTGTGCCAGAATTGAACAAAATTTACTAAGTTATGTCTGACATTGAGAAAAAAATTGTTTCCTCTTTTTTAAATACATTTTTTTAGTTTGTAAGTTTATATGTGTATTCCTTTGTTTTCCTTGATATTTTATTATGTCTCAAGTTACCATTGCATTATCTAATTTGAGACGTTGTTTTAACATCTGTGTCTCAAGTTACCCCATTTATATGGGTAACTTGAGACACTAATAAAAATAAATAAATAAATAAAATTTCTATATTTACACAAATTATTAAATGTAGAAACCATAGTAACCAGGGTAACTAATGTTTTATTTTAGTTTTTGCAGATTTCCCTATAAAATTATTTGGTAGGGGTTTCTTTAAAGTTGAAAAATGTCTCAAGTTACCCCGTTTTACTCGGTACTAAGAAAAAATTAATTTAAATCAAAATCAAATGAGAACTCGTTTTGTTTAAAACGGCCGAGTTGTCAGTTTTTTTTTTCTACATTCGGTTGCGCAATTTAATAGGACTACCATACAATGTTTACTATTTGTTATTATACAGAGCAGTGGTTGGTTTATTCTATGGTAATATCTCAAATGTCCATTTCCTAGTAAGTAAATGAAAAAAAAAAACTCAATCCAAACCATTGGACACTTTTGTTTATTTATTTGGATGATAATTGATAAACAAAGACATCTCATGGCAAAAAAAAAACACATGATTACAAACAAAAGTTCATCAAAGATAGTCCACAATATCTTGACCACTTCTATTAAAAAAAGATCAACTACATTTAACATCGTAGACATATTCATAAACCGAACAAAAGCATTGTCGGCCCACAGGTGGACCCAGGGCTCGAATAAATTCAAAACAAATAGGTAGTATAAGGAGGGTAAAAATAACGTTACGTCAAGGAAAATTAAATTCAGTTAGTAATATACATAATTTATTATCGTAGACTAACCAACACCAGAGGGAGTATGTTTTATCTATACAGAAGAATCATCTATAAACAATAATAAAACATAGACGGATGAGTAAACTATAATGAGGTTGGCAACACTGTCATTCACAGATAATGGAAGAAGACTAGAAAAAATACTCATCAGCTGTCGGCTCCCAGCTGACAAATTGCTGTTCAGTCAAGTGTTCAGTCAGTGGAGTGAAACTGGAAACGTAAACAAACAATGAAATTGATATTGAATTGAAACACAGAACAGGAACAGAAACTACAGAAAACACTCACTCTTTGTTTATAATACTAGTTTAACTTAGTAGAAATTTATAATATTATCGCCTATTGGTAGCCATATAATATTAATTGTATTTATTTATTAATTATGCCAGAAAAGGCATTGACTATACTATACTCTCTCTATTATACTAGGCCTAGTATAGTCAATGGTAACTTATAAGGTATGTAAAAAAATCTAACTTTTACTTTACCTCAGTTTGGTTGATTTTTAATCTCAAAAATATATTAATCGGTCCTATTATACAAGTTCTAGACTTTTAGTTTTGAATTCTCATTTCTAACTTTTTGTCAAAATGCAATTTTTTATTACAATATTTATAAGTTTACAATATAGTTTGTGTTTAATGATATGATATAGCCTATACAAATTATAGCATAAGCCATCACAACTGTATCTAGTTTTAAGCTTATCAGCACTTGCTTTGAGATTTTTCCCAAAAAAGTTTTAAAATCTATACTTATCTTATGCTAGCAGTTTTGTAATTTTTATTAAATTGGACCAGAACAAAGGCAACAAAGCTCACTTTGACAAAGTTTGAAATCTCTCCGTGAAGAGCATAGGCCTAATACACTAATCAAATCTGTTTTATAGGTCTAAGATATGATTTAAGACCAATTTGTCTGTAAAAAGGCTCACAGTAGTAGCAAACATGATACCTATAGCCTAATATAAGTGTGATGCACGCTTCATAATTGTAAAGTAATTTAAACCTTATCACAGGGTTTATCAGACTTCCGGCAAAGTTACTGAACTAGGATTAGGCCTAAGCTTAATGTTTCAAGCTACAGGTATACTAATGAACTAAGTTTCAAAGCGACAGGTTCTAAGAACCTCACTAAACCAGTTACCATGTTCTTACTAGAAACATTAAAATATACTGTACACAAAGTAAACACTGCTGACTTATAAAAGAAATGTATTGCTTACTTAAACTAGTGTAACTTAAACTTCCATGTTAGACAAGTTAATTTATTTTAACTGATTTTATATTTTCAGATTCAAATGTTCCTCGTACCAGACTGAGTCAGCAATGTGCAGGAGTTTGTAAAGGTAATGTGTTTTGTTTGTATCTTCAATTTAGTTAGTTTAAATCCGATCAATTTCACGACCCGCCAGTTTAAAGAGTTTCTACTCTTTATTTATTTACCGGTACATAAATCTCAACAAATTAATCAACACTTTGTAAAACTTCCTAGGCTGGCACCTTGGGCTCACCCTGGTTAAATTAATAACTCAGCAATTGGTTAAAAACAAAGACTTATTGGTAACTGTCAAGTTGATCCTATTTTTAGTAAGAGGACCGATGATTATGAACCTAAAGATTAAGTTGATGAACCATGCTGTTGCCTCCTCCTTTTAACTGGAAGTGGTGAAAAGGTTTTAGTCATGTTCTTTGACTTTAAGGACCTTTAGGTATAAGAAAACTATCAGTGACCATCCATTGAAACAAGACCGGATAAAGTAAATTTGATACTTTAACGGATAAATTAAAGTATCAATTTAATACAAAAGCCTGTGCCCTTAGGGCTGATGTAGATAATAATGGGTTTCCGCTTGTCTACACTACCTTTCTAATGGTGTGTGCCAATTTCTGCTATGTGCACAGGTTGAAAAAAAAAATGAGAAAAAGTTTCATTCATGCCTATTAATACACACATGCCCATCTAGCTTTTACTACAAAATGATTATATGTAATATTACTCTTATTAGGTTCTTTGCTGTCTTTCTATCAAATTTACAATATGAGTTAACAATTTTGCAATTTTATTTGATTTGATCAAAGAATGATTTGAACAAATTGTGCACGTGCAACAACCTCGGCGACAAGATACAATGAAGTGTTTGTTCTAGATAGTGCTAAATTCAGTCTGACGCCTGGCTGGACTTATGTGTACAACTATGAGGGAACGTCCACCTCGGAAGTGGCCGGGTCGAGCAACGAGACATCGCAGATTAGAATACTGGCGAAGGCTCATGTCACCGTGTCATCTCGGCCATGTGAGCTGATACTGACTGTGAGTATTTTATGATACTGTACTCAATTTGATACTATTTATGATACTCCCTGTGTTCGAAGAAGTAGTTTGAGGAGATGGGTTTGGAAATGAAATATTTTCTAATGCTATGATCCAGGTTTTCTGTTCAAAAGTCAATGACCAATAATACAGTAATTATTTACCTATTTTGCCTGAAGGTCTTGTAGTTTGAATTAACACTCGATGCGCATTTTGCCGCTCAGTGCGGCATCTGCAAAATGCGCATCGAGTGTTAATTCAAACTACAAGACCTTCAGGCAAAATAGGTAAATAATTACTGTATAACACAGGTCTTGTCACTGGGTTCAAAAAACATTGACCAATAATAGTTAAGAGAACAAAATACTTGGACTAAATACTGTAATAGTTATGCTTGTGAATATTCTGTGTTGTATATATAGTTTACTAATTAGTAAACTTAAGCTTTAAAGGCTAAACATTATTTTTACTAAAAAGTCTATCCATCATAAGAACATAGTAATAATAGTTTTTTTTATCTGAACTATTACCGGTACTTAGTTTATGATTTGCACTTAAAAAGGATTATTCAACAAATTAGAAACAAAACAACAGGTAACTTGCCGCAACATTTCACGCCACTTGTAGGCTATTACTCTAATAAAACCATGTCTTTTGTGCCAATCTGCAAAATTCTAGACTAATTATTGATAAATGTAAAAGATTTTTTAAGAGGTTAGTGATTAATTTCTCTTGCATATGGTGTCTATATGTTAACAATTGTCTTATAATTTCTTCAGGTGCGAGATGTCGAACTACTTGACTCAGACAAGGATGGCTTAAGTCCCGCAGATGGTCAGAAGCAGTTTGCAGCGGAGCTGGAGCAGTTTCCGCTGAGATTCAGTTTCCAGGACGGTCGCGTAGAGCAGCTTTGTCCATCAGCTGATGAGCCGACCTGGACACTCAACATCAAACGAGGTTTACTCTCCATGCTACAAAACACCATGTCAGACTTCACACGGGAGGGACATTTGTACGAGGTGAGTGATTTGGGTAGAACTAAAATGTTTTGTAAAAGTTTTAAGGTAAGAAGGGAGGTGGTAGCGCAACTATCTCTCAGGCCTAAACGCGGTCACACGCAAACTGGGGGCCTGTTAGTAGCAAAAAAATTGGGTTTTCAACTCAAAACATCTTTACTTAATATCATTGACTTTACACAGGTCAGTTTATCATCAGGTCACTCCTACATGATTCTGAACTATTTTCTTGGCTTCAATTTTTTACATTGAATGGGAAGTCTACTCATTTAAAGTATACATGAATGGCATCAAACGGAGTTGTTTCATAAAGGGTACAGACAGGGGAATCAAAAGGGTGACTCAACATAACCACTAGGGTGAATCCTGTATAGTTATACCATTGGAAAAAGCAAGTACGGTACATGTTTTACGGTACCGGTACTCAATTGACTGGTTGGAGGGTGACAACTAGAAAGGTCGCATGACCGAGGATTCTTTTGCTGTAATTTCAAAGTTACCGTATTGGTAATGTTGGGAACATTGGGAACATTAACACAGAATATACCAACTTTATTTAATGCTGGTAATGAATACTTATATCAACCTCTTTATCCTAACACAATCTATATTTATTCACAATTATAAGACGTAACGTTGTTCAACAGAAAGATGTGAGTGGAAGTTGTGAGACGATGTACTCGGTTTCTCCGATGATGTGGAGTGACGTCAAGGTGCTCAAGTACAAGAACTTGCAGAGTTGTAGTGGCAGAAGCCATCACACCCTGGGACTTCCTTCTAGCTGGACCTCCGGGGCAAAGTCCACTCCGATAATCAAGTAAGTTGGAAGTTTATGATCAAGTCACTATTGTGATGGACATGGATTTATATTTGATAGGGAAGGGAGACGCTTCGATCACTCAACATAATTTGTTTTTGTACCTAAAGGACTTTTTATCAGACTAATTATTTGGTTAGATAGCTAAGTGATTGATTGATAAATAAAGGGTGATAAAAATTCAGTGAGTGTTTTTAGTGATTTGAAATTAAACCTTGTAATTGATTTAAAAGGTCGTATGTGCAATTATGATAAAGTTTGTAACTTTTTGATAGCTTGAAACTACAATACTGTAAGGAGGCTAGTCTCTAGCCCAGGATCGTTTTTCATATTACTTCAGGTTAGACCTATCACAAAAAAATATCCTCAGGTACCGGTAGTTCATTATCACTTTGATAAAATCCATTAGTGATTTGGGTGGATTTTCACTCAGGACCTCAGGGACCAAAGACCCGGAAGCTCTACCACTAGACCAGAAAGCTCGCTCCCCCAATAAGCTACCCTTAATCATTGGCCTTTTAAAAGTGGCCATGATTAAAGACCCAGTAGCAAAGTTACACAAAATGTCTCCCTCTTTGTACACTATTCCTTCATTCATAATTTGGTTAGAATAAGTACAACTGGGATTTCATCTTGGTAAAAATGGTGTGCTAAGCTAATTTATTTATGAGACTGGCCCAAATTTGGAAGTGAGCAAAGTGTATTTTCCTGAGGTGCAAATATTTTCATAAACACTAAATTAAATTATAGTAGTCAAGCAAACAGTAAAACAATGTTTCAATTTTGGCCTTTGAGGTTATGATCCTTAAGCAATGATAACAACGAATGTAGAAGGTAGTGTACCTTTAACCTGGAGTTTAAACCTAATGAATGTGGTTAAATGTAAAGTTTAGATGACTATTTTAAATGCCAGTTAAGTAGAGTGTGGTGTACAAAATTTTTTCTAGTTATTTGATCTTTTGTTTGCAGAAGTGAACAAATCTGCGAGCAGACGATCAGAACAGACAACGGCACTTATCTGGCTAACTCTCGGTGTCAGGAGAGTCATGTGTTTGCGCCGTTCTCCAACGGAGCATCCGGTGTCAGGACCATCGCTGAGACTGTCTTGTCATTGGACAGCATTGAACAACTCGACAAAACCTTTCCTGTTGGTATGTATAGATTTTGTTATTTAAATATTTTTACGGCCAACATCGGATCTTCTTAAATAATTTTAAAGGGAAGAATACTTCTTCTTCTTGTCTTCTGTTATCATTTATTCCAGTACTTTATCATCCAATTGACCGTCAGACCAGTTTTCTTCCTTCGTCTGAAATCTCTCTTCCCTATCCTATATTTACTCACTTTGATTTTAGCGAATTTCCCATATAGGGAATAAGCTATTACCGTAGGTCTCATGGTAAGACCTAGACCCGGGACCGATTTACTTTTTCGTTTTGAGGTCCCCAGAGGCCAAAAACACCATTCGTTCAAATTCATATATATATTTATATTAATAAATAATATGTAAAATAACATGAGTACCCTTTTTTTATATTCTTTTTTATTTAATAAATCACAACATGTTTCGTCTCTAAGGACATTTTCAAGTGTGTTAACCTAATTTCAAACAAAAATATTATGTTATGAATAAATACAGCTGTTAATTTTGTTAGTACCTATGTGAATGAATGTTTAGTTGTTGGTTTTTCTAACACTTATAATTTTGTTAAATATAGGATTAGTGGTTTGTGTGTGTACTATATTTAAAATGTTGTTTCTGTCTTCTTTGTAGTGTTTATATATGTGAAAATTTTCTTTTATGTTCATTTTGGTTCCTTTGTTAATAATGTCTAGTATGGTAATGTTTTCGTTATAATTTTTGTATGTATGGTCTGTAGAAAGTATGTGTTCTGCAAATGTAGATTTTTGTGTAGTTCTGTTGTTTGATTTAATTGCTTGAATATGTTCTTTGTATCTACTTTGAAAATTTCGTCCTGTTTGGCCAATATAGAATTTTGAGCAGGAACTGCAGTTTAATTTGTATATGCCTGATTTGTCTTTTATGTCTGATACGTTGTTGTTTGACTGTGAAAATTTGTTAATTAAATCAAATGAATTGTTTCTTGTTCTGTATGATAACTTATAATTTTGGTTGTTAAATGTTTTCCTATATGCTTTGTTAAATGTAGTTGAGTAAGGTAGGCATAAAAATTCATGTTTTCTTTCTTCTTTCTTGACATGTTGGTTTTTCATGCCTGCTTTTTTCTTTATCATTTTTTCTACGGTTTTGCTGCTGTATCCATGACTCTGTGTCCATGACACATGTATATGTGTCCGTTAGCGCGATAACTCGAGCAAAATTGATCCGATTTTGATGAAATTTGGTACAAACGTGTAAACCTACATTTATTCGAACGAGTTCGCGAACCAGCATAATCGGACCATGGGATCAGTGGTTTATGGGGGATTTTATGGGGTAAAAATGGGTTTTTCTCATTTTTGACCCTAAAAACATTAAATTTCCAAATTTCTCTCTAGACCATTTTGAAGAGCTTAAGAAAACAAATAATTTAGTATATTGAAGTTTTTTTGAATGTTCATTGACTACGGAGAAAATTAAAGAAATTGTAAATTTAAAATTCCCATGTTATTCTTATGTAGAATAAATAAACTGTTCTAGTTTGCTTATTTATGGATATATTTCAATCAAATTTGGCAATTTGGCTTATTTCATACTAAGCTATCAATATTTCAATTGAAAAAACACACCTCAACATCTTTCCCGTAGCAGCAAACCTATCTACTCACTAAAATTAATGTTATTTAAATAGGAAATAAATCTGAAAATTTATAGGGAATATTTTAGTAGAAATCAAGCCGGGTGAATGGAAATTCGCTTAGTATGCAGGTTTGCTGCGACGGGGGTATTTTGTTTATAGGATATTTTGAGAGATAGCAGGCCTACCTGAATGAGAAAAAATCCAAACTGGATATATGTACACAAAATTAGAATTTAGAATATTTCTCTGTCATTAACAGCATTTTCAATGCTTCAACTAAAGTAATCATTTTCTCGATTACAGATATTTTTGTCAACAAGAGGACTGGACTGATGTTTGAGTACAGTCCGGAAACGGATGAAGCTGCAGTAACAGTTGATCAGGTTTGGACTGTACTCAATCAGCTGGTAGCTCATAGTCAGCTCGGTGTAGACGACAAAGTTCCTCAGCTGTTCAATCAGTTGGTCACACTACTTGCGAAGATGGACGACCAACAGTTGGTCCAGGTATTGTGTTTTGGAATAGCAATGTAATTAATAGAGTATTTAGTCTACTTGATTATTCTTAGACTTAAGTTCAGTACTCAAGGATCTACTTGTCTCTTCATTGTATTGACTTCTTGGAGAATAATTCTGATTTGAGTTAGCATTTGGCATCAACTCAGAGACAACTCATTAGATTAATAATGTTAAAATTAAATGCCTTTGGGCACATCTTTTAACAGTCTTTTTGACCCTATTTATTTGAGAAAAAGTTAGTGATAACGAATTGATTATATGTTGTGATGATTAAATTCATAGAACAATCCGAAATTTAGTGCTCTATTTTACAACACCTGTCACTCAAACTACCCTTATTAAAAAAAAACCTTTAGCACATGTCAATATTCATGTGTCTCTTTTTAAGTCTGGCTAAGTATTTCACAACTTTGTTTTCAGGAATTTAAAACTGATTAACATACACTTTGCACTCTAAACTTTCCACATAACTGATAAACTAGTCTACCAATAGTGTGCAGAGTTATATGAGTAAGCTTTCAGGTCAAGATACAATTATATTTTGTAATGACTTTTTGTTACAATGAGGTACAATTTTAGGCATTTTGTTGTATTGAAATGAGATTCACTATTTTGTAGTTCTAACTGCGATAAATTTTCTAACCTGAAGTTGATTTACTTTTGTCAAAACTATTATAAATTTGTAATATTGAGGTTGTGAGTACAGTTCAGAGTTAAAAAGTTAAGTATTTGCTGTGCAATTTGATTATTCTGTGTTGTCCACGGTTTTGAACCTTAGGCAAAAAAAAACGGTATCATTCGACAGTACAACAGCGAACAGGCCTTTTTGTACAATTGTGATTCATAGACTAAAACTGTTTTTCAAATGTTTATTTACGTATATGTTTATTCTAGATGTGAAATATACATTGATTCTGATGGAGAGTTCTAGATTAATTTTTAAATGTTTCCAAACACTCGATGTTTCACCTCCTGACAATGTGTTGACAGTTGTTTGACGAGGTGAGGGACAGCCGTACCAGAGGCTACTTGTTGGACGCCCTTCCACTGCTGGGCTCGTCTGGTAGTGTGTGGGCGATGTACCAGATATACATGTCCGGGGAAGTCACCAGGGCAGAGGTCGACCAGTGGCTCTCGGCTCTGGCGTTCCATCAACAACCATCGCTGGAACTGGTCGACAGACTTGCGGTAGGTCTTGTGATGTTTAAGAAAACTCCCTTAGTGTAGTAATATTGGCTCTATGAACTGTTGGTCTGTTTAAATTTATTGAACAGCTGTTAGTGCACGCAAACCCGTGGTTTTAGCTTCTGTCTGCTAGAATATTTTTTTTAGATAAGTCAAGATACTGTGTCAGGATGAATAGTCATATGTGTACTATGACTAAGTATGTTTGTTTCACAAGATAATCTGTTTCAATGTATGAGGGTGTTATTTACAGTTTTAACAAAACAAATTAAAAAGATACCGGTAATCACTAGATAACATTGCAGGTTCATTCTAAGGCACCCTGTAACATAATAAATTCATATTGTTAAACACGATCAATTTTCTTTTGGCTTCATCTAACAGTATTTGGGGAAGCCTTCTTTAGTTGCTTCAGCAAGATTGAGAGCCAGTGCTTTAGGAGCATTTATTAGAGACTTCAGAAATTTGAAGGTTGATCTTTCAATAGAGAGATAAGACTCTATTCCAAGCTCTTCATGTATGTTTGTTTCTCATAAACCAGGGGGAATTCACCGCTATTCTTAGAATTTTGTTTTTGATAACTTGAATTTTTAATAGTTTTTTAATACATAGCTGACTCCCAGATAGGAGACTAAGTATGTATTACTGGGTGCTAACTATATTTACATAAGCAGTAAACAAGTTTTTCATGTTTTGAGCTGATTGAAATGAAGAATACAAAAATAATTACTAAAAAGAAATAGTATAAAATAAGTACCTCCATTTATTTTCTCAGCTGATTGTTCCAATGTCTGTCCCCTCCAGCTGTTCACGACAGATGATTACCAACCGAGGACCTGGCTAGCAGCTGGTGCAATCATACATTCTTACTGCAAACATGACCCTGAATGCAAACAAAGGTAGGTAGAACAAAAAATAAGGTTTAAAAATACCTGTTGTCAAGTAATTTTGATTGGATACTTAGGCTATTTGGTTGATAATAAAAATTATGAAATTTTAGGTTTGAAACCAGTGGTTGCCTCTCAAAAACCCAGAATCGCTCAACAGTACTTCAGATTTTTTTAACGTTTCATTTTATTAAACATTTAAGAGAGGCTAAAAATTTTAAAGGAAGAAATAGTTTTGCGTTTTGATATTCTACATTAAGCCCAGTGGCGGTCCCAGGATTTCATTTGGGGGGGGGGGGATGACCACCGCGGAATGGAACATCCCCTAGATAAAAGGGGGGTCCGGGGGGGGCCCCTGGAAAAAATGTGGAATTTAAAGCCTAAAAATTTAATTTATACGTATTTGAGCTCTAAAATATGCTCAAGCTAATAATATTTATGTTAGCTATTAAAATATAAAAAAATTCAGGGGGGATATATTCCTCCCATCCCCCCCTTGGGACCGCCTCGGATTAAACCTCAGATAGTTTGGTTTCAGTTTCAATCCAAACATTTAATTAGAACTTAGAACTGTTACTTTTACACAATTATTGCCTAATTAATTCATCACTAGAGTTAACAAGTAGTTTGCATATTTACCTTTAAATATGTTTTTATTTTACCTCTAAAACTTTTATTTACAATGTAATGTACTCTCCCCATAATTTTCTCTTTCACAAATCCTTTGTAAAATTTTGCTTCAACAATTCCTTGTAGCTGATGGGACTTGTTGTTCCTTGTGTAAGTATACAAAACAACTTTTTTATTAAAATAAAGCAAGGTAAAATAAATTTTAGCTGTTCTCGTTTGCAATATCTAATAATATAGTGTTCATAACACAACTTGAACCAAGCATAGTCATAAGAGTTGATTCTACTTGTTGGGAGTAAACCTTAGTAAAACCGTTTTACCACATATAATATCTATAGGTACTGTGAGTGAGCTATCTTGGAGTCCCACATTAAACACACAAACAATATTCTATTGTTTCAGACGTGAAGTTCAGACCGTCTTGGCAAAATTTGAGGCGGTTCTAGGTCAGTCGTGCCAATCCGACAACAGCGAAGAACAACAACGGATGATCGTGGCTCTCAAGGCAATCGGAAACGCAGGAATCATCAACTCCATTGATACTCTTGAACAGTGCTTTACCGTAAGTTGATAATACCTGTAGTCAACAAATAATCCAAAATGTTTTAGACTAAAGCTAAATACATCCCCACAATGATTATTGTTGGTCAGTAACATTGTTAACTGTTAGATTTAAATTGTGAATTTGTGAAACTTTAACAACAATTTTGGCAAATTCATCTTCTTTTTTCGTGACATACTTTTGGTATTTGTAATTTTGATGTTATTCCTTGTACCTACCGAGTTGTGTAAGTATGAAAAAAATATATTTTTGAATTCAATGACTGCAGAGCACTCCCAACCCCGTAGAGGTCCGGCTTGCTGCGGTTGCTGCTACACGCAGAATGAGTTGTGGACAAGTGTCTCGGCTACCTCTGCTGCGGCTACTGCAGGACAAGAGTGAAGACTCTGAGCTGCGTATTGCTGCATACCTGGGTGTGCTGCAGTGTCCCACCACCTCCGCAGTGAGCAGGCTACGAGACGTGCTGCACGGCGAGGACACAAATCAAGGTAAGCTACTTATATGTTTAAACACAGCTGGACAATTTGAGAAAAATGTCAACTACTGTTGTGTTTCTGCTTGTATGTGGTACTAACTTTTATTCTCAGACATAAAAATAGTGAGGGTTATAGTTGTCCCTAAATAATTTGGCGCTTTGTAATCTGGCATAATCGGTAGTCCAACAAGCCTCCGGAAGCGGTGCTTCATGGAAAAAAAACAATATTGATTATCCATCATGGTTGTTACTAATGAAACCTTGTTGGTGTCTTGTAAGACTATCAAGGAACAGATTAAAGATATCCAAACTGATGTTTTGCACTTTACTCTCATATCTCAGTGAACATTTATATATTCTCATATACTTGTCGGGTTTCAAAAAGTTGCATCCTTTATCTAGATTATTAAGTTTCATTTTTTTTATTCTTTTAGTTAGTTATATGTGCATTTGATTACAAATTATCAAACTTAATAATTTTTATATTTTCCAGTTCTCTCATTTATTTGGACCCATCTAACGAACCTCCAAGAATCAGGCAGCCGCTGGAGAAAAGAAGTTCGTCAGATGTTGCAGGACACTTATTTTCCCAACAAGTTCAAAACTGACGCTAGGAAGTTCTCCAGAAACTATGAAATGTCGGCTTACTCTGACATCCTCAATTCAGGAGTGACAGTTGATTCCAACATCATCTTCAGTACCCAATCTTACCTTCCCAGATCTGCCAACTTGAATTTGACCCTGGATCTGTTTGGAGAAACAATCAACATGTTCGAAGTAGGAACGAGAGTTGAAGGTTTTGAGACGGTTGTTGAAAGCATTTTTGGCCCAAAAGGTCTTTTCCCTGACGAATCGATGCAGAAAATGCTGAAGAACATGAGAGAATCCAATGTAGAGAACAATGGAGTGATTGAGACAATGTCAAAATCGTTCACCAAAGGAACCAAGAACGAACCTCAAGGAGCGATGTTTGTCAGAATTTTGGGAAATGAGCTCTACCTTACACAGTTTACCGGATTAGGTGAATTTATGGATTTGAAATCAGTGAAAAAACAAGGTCTTAAGCACTTGAAGGAATCTTTGTCATCCATTTTCACCAACAAGAATTTTGACTACTCTAAATCATTTAGATTCCTCAACACAGAGCACGTTATCCCGACGATTCTGGGGCTTCCGTTGAAAGTGAAAGTGAACGGTACAGCGTCGGTCGGTATGAGGTTGAAGACAGAACTAGATTTTGACAACATCCTGAAAACATCTTCAGGGAACATCGTACTGTTGGCCAACCCCAGTGCTGCCGTAGCTATTGATGGGAAGATGACGGTAGACGCTGTATTTTCTCAAGCCAGTGTTGAAACCAAGGGATCACTGAGCAGTAACACCTACTTGGATACAAACATCAAAGTTGAAAAAGGAAAAGTAATTGATGTGTTTGTAAATGTTCCCAGAGATAAAGTTGAAATAATAAATGTCACTTCTGCGGTTTATGTGAAGAAACGAGATCAGTTGGTGGAAATAGAAGGAGTGGGTGAAGTGAGTGAGCAAGACACATGCTCAGGAGTTCACGTACCGACATTGAGCGGAATGAGGGTTTGTACCCAGTATGTGCTGAGAAATGCTTCAGCCATTGAAGATTCTCCGTATTTCCCCTTGACTGGAAAGTTCCAGTACGCCTTAGCTCTGCAGAAGTCTGATGATTTTGAGTTCTACCGATTCCATTTGAAGCAAAACTTTAATGCATTAGCTGATGCCAACGCACACTTTTTAAGGTTGGTAACTTTTTATTTTTGGCCTCTTATTACTTTTAATCAGGATCTGCTATGCTGATTTCGGTTAGGCCTAAATGCCTATCTCAAGTTTGGATTTATAATTAAAGATTCAAAAAATTGATTGTTTAATTTCAGAGGATAAACAATAAATCTATGTTGCTTTCTGTAATTTAATGTCTAAAGAGATTGAAATAAAAAATAGTTAATCTTAGATAGTTGTCCACGCCTTAGTATATACCATACTTTGAGTACGTACAAATTTACTCGTATATAGGAAGAAAGATTTTCAGTAACTGAAGCATAACGTAGAGTTTAATTTAAATAGTCAATGAATTATAAAGGTAAATTTGAAATTCTCAAGATATATTAAATTTAGCCTGAATAAATTAAATTTGAAAGGAACTAGCCGAACAAATAAATTCTTGAAACACTACTTTCAAAAGAAAAGTTTATAGTACTCCGAATAGTTGCCTGCAAATACATTAAAATGCACAAAGTCAAATAATTCATCATTTGATTGTGTATGTGAATTACTTTTCTTCTTATAACCATATGCTATTCTTGGGAAGCATCTTTGACAAAAAATAAACCCTGTGATGTTTTACAGGTATTACACGGGAGATTTTGAGATAGAGATGGACACACCCGGGTCCAAGATAAACAGAAGATTAGCCGCTGAGTTGTTTTTTGACTCAAAGAACGGAAATGCCAAACTGCAGCTGGAAAGTCCGGCAGGGAGTGTGGAGTTTTCTGGGAAACTTTCTGTCGAGGGCGCTTCCAGAGAGGCGGAACTAGCGGCCAAAGTGAACGGAGAAGATTACGTAGCCTTGAAAGTGGGCTTGCGATCGAAGAGCGAAGCAAATAACATCATGTGAGTTTAAATATAAAATTATTTTTTTTTAGACCGAATTTAGGTGGTGATAAAATTGATTTAACACACACATGTAAATCAATGAGAGGCAGGGGAAGGTTTTTCCATTGTTCAATGTTTTTTTTATGTACAAAAAATTAACATGAAGATTAAAATTAAGACCTCATTGATGCTTATTCTAGCCAATATAGGCCTCCAACATAATAATTGTTCAAAGGTACATTTCCTAGGGATTGAAAAATACAAGAACAATTTTCTCAAGATGTAAACTCACAATTTTAATCCTTCGATTTATTCAATAAGCACTCATGTTATGAAGGTAGGCCTATATCGTATGTATGAGGTATGTAATGCTTATTAACCGACTTCCCCACTACCAACAAAAGGAGGAGGTTCTCAATTTGTTTGTGGCGATGTTTTTTTTTTTCTATGTATGTTCACCAATTTCTCTGTGATTCTCTTACCGATCAGTGTGGTTCCACCACCAAAATAACCGGGAGAGTTTCTATTTGGTACCTTATATATTATGTTTAAGTATAATATTTGTTTTGGTGAAAAATTCTGAAAACCTTAAATATTCAACATTTATTTTGTTTACATTTGTGCAGATTGTTTACATTTGTGCAGAGAAGGCAATAAATAATAATAACATTTCTGCAGCTGTTAGTTGAAACCATTTAAATGAAGCTGCAGACAATTCTTCTCATATTGATCAATAAACTATTTCTTGTCATGGAGCCTAAATGAATTACATTGAGAAAAGTGCATTTTGTTTTGGTTACTATAAAAAATTTATTTTAACGTTTGACTTGATTTGTGTATACAGTAATTCTGTTTTTAGTATTGAATATTCTGACTTACAAAAACATATATGTTTCAGTGAATAGCTGTATGATGTTGACAAATAAAGGTGTATTGTGAAAACGAAAGCATTCGTAAAACAGGTCTAAATATAAATTAAATGCAATTATTCCTTACACGACCTAAGAAGTGTGACAGTGCATAATCGTCAATTGTCTTAAAAATGTTAAATATTTTAATTACTAAACATGCATTTGCAGTTGTGGAATGTTTATTGATATTCTCTACCCAGTTACTATATCATATCAATACTATTATGCCTGCTTCGGAAAGTCCTAGAGGAAGATGATTTGCAATTTCGACTAGGCTATATCTTGATCAAACAAAACCACCTACATGGCTTGCACCACTTTTAGCTGAACCAATCTTTCATATACATATTTCATTTGCAGATGTGGAATGTTTTATTAATATTCTCTACCCAGTTACTATAGCATATCAATACTATTATGCCTGCTTCGGAAAGTCCTAGAGGAAGATGATTTGCAATTTCGACTAGGCTATATCTTGAGCAAAAAAAAACCCCTACATGACTTACACCACTTTTAGCTGAACCAAACTTTCATATAATATTTTCCAAAGGCACTATACGTGTTAACGACCAATTTTCCACTTTTGAGAGATTTTTTAGTGCTGGTAGCTGAGGAATAACTTTCATATTGTTCCAAAAGGCTTGAGACGTTACTGTATTTATTTTTATAATGTAGAAGTACACCGATTGCAGGAAACGATGATGTCTGACATTTCAATGTATCTAGAAAAGACAATTAGTTTTTCACTAGGCCTAATGTAATGGACAACTCTTTCTTTCTTAAGGAATATCTAAAAATGTTTATTTTCATACCCATTGATTATGTAACCTGAACAGGTGACTCAAGCAGTTTTAAAATAATGATTGTACTGTGGAACTTTTGATTGTTTCAAACAGTTTTGCTTATCAAAAAACCTCAAGTAATTAATATATAAAAAATTATACAGGCACTAAAAATCATGAAATAATTTATTTTTGTAAAAAAATACAACCGACTTCAAACGCTCTAAAAAGAATTAAATAATTTCAATAAAGTAAACTTTTGTATTAGGCAAGCTCACGTATTTCAAGCGGCGCGGCTCAAACTGCAAATATGATTGAAATTAAATATTGTACGTGTATTTTAAAAATCAATAAATTGTAGCTGGGTAACATTAATATATAAAAAACATACTGAACTGTTTTGTTTATATATTAAAGGAAATATTTTCTTATATTTTATGTTTACTTCAGAATAATTATATATGAATAGGAAAATAATTTAGTTTGATATTATGATAGGGAAAAGAAGCTAGTATAGTATTAAAACGTTACTTATCCAAGTTAGAAACATTTAAATGCGTTATAATCTTTTTAAAGATATTCGTTAATACCACTATAATGCCGACATACAGATTAACACTTTTAGTTATAGATAGTCACCTGCAATATGGACAGCCTCTCTTTCAATTTTGTATCAAAAATCATCATAGAGGTGCGCCGACTTAAAATACGTGAGCTTGCCTAATACAAAAGTTTACTTTATTGAAATTATTTAATTCTTTTTAGAGCGTTTGAAGTCGGTTGTATTTTTTACAAAAATAAATTATTTTTCAGATATAATTATTTTCTTTGATTTCCTTCATAATCACAATGAAATTATTTTATCAACTATTGTCATCATAAATAATTTAATAAGAGTTCAATAAATTATTTTAATTGGGAATGAGAGCCTACACCAAGAATCAAATGATAATGGATCCCGTCTGGCAAGTCTTGCACTTGCAAATGATTACAAATTTCCAGTACAATGTTCCCCAGAAGAGACATACACAAGTACACTTGGACATCACCAAATGGCGTGACCAAAAACCAGATTGATCATGTACTTGTAGATCAACGACATAAAAGTTGCATTACAGATGTAAAGAGTATTAGAGGAGCAGAATGTGGGACTGATCACAGTCTAATCCTAGTCAAGGTAAACCAAAGAATAGCTGTTGAAAGGAGGAAGGAAGAAATACAAGAAAGACGAATAGACACCGAAAAGCTTAATGTTAAACCGATAGCTGATGAGTTTAGAATAAAACTAGAGAATAGGTTTAAGATTCTAGAAGACTTAGATAAAGATGAAGATGTCAACAGTACCTGGAATAATTTTAAAGAAGCAGTCCTAGATTCGGCAGAAGAAGTATGTGGAAAGAAAAAGAAAAAAAGCAAAAAACCTTGGTTGATTGTGAATGTGAACAAATGTTGGAAGAAAGGATTAGGAGGAAAAATGTATGGATGAATAGCAACAATGAAGAAGACAGGTTGATGTACAACCAGTCAAATAAGGAGACAAATAAATTCCTGAGGAGGAAAAAGCGACAATATATTAAGAGTTTACTAGATAGGGCTGAAGAAGAAAACACAGCAAACAATGCAAAAGATTTTTACAGGAAAGTAAGATTTTTTAAAAAAGGATTCACCCCTTGTACATATGGAATAAAGAATAAGGAGGGACAACTACTAACTGAAAGTGTCAAGGTCCTTGAAAGGTGGCGCGAATATTTTGAGGAACTGCTGAATGTTGATGAAATCACCCCAACAGAAGAAGAAAATCAAAACAATGAGGACATTTACTTTTATGTTGAACCCTTTATCGAGACACCAACAAAAGAAGAAGTACAATATGCAATTAAGTCCCTGAAAAATGACAAAGCTCCTGGAAGAGATGAAATAACAGCAGATATAATAAAGAGAGGAGGAAACATAATAGTGGAAAAGCTGTGGAATTTAATTACAAAAATATGGGAACAAGAAGAAATGCCAATGGAGTGGCAGGAAGCAGTCATTATCCCTATTCATAAAAAGGGTGAGAAAGAAGTGTGTGATAACTATAGGGGAATCTCACTGCTTAGTATCCCATATAAAGTTATCTCAAAAATTATTTTAAACCGTCTAGAACAATACTCACACGAGTTGATAGGTGAGCATCAAGCGGGGTTTATGAAGAGTAGATCGACAACTGACCAAATATTTATTTTAAAAGAAATAGTAGCCAATTATTGGGAGTTCAATAAAGAATTTTATGCCTTATTTATCGACTTTCAGAAGGCTTACGACAGCATAAGAAGGGACAAATTGTGGACACAGCTAAGAAAATTCGGCATACCGAATAAAATTATAGCCTTAATTAAAATGAGTATTTCAGGATCTAAATGTTCAGTTAGAATTGATGGCCACAACTGTAACACCTTTGAAGTAAACTCTGGTGTCAGACAAGGAGATGGGCTATCACCGATCCTATTTAATTTTGCCATTGAAGAAGCTCTACAGAAGGTAGCAGAGAAGAACATAGGAGTGAAAATAGGAACCAAAATAAACATCTTAGCCTTTGCAGATGATGTGGTTATAATCACAGAAAAACTAGAAGATCTGAAGGCCTTAACCGAAGTATTTATGAAAGAAACAGAAAAAGTAGGCCTAAAAACAAACGATTCAAAAACTAAGTACATGCACTTTTCAAGATACCTGGATAATACTGAAGAACCAATAGAAATTGATGGCCATACATTTGAAAAAGTCAACAGTTTTAAATACCTAGGAGTAATTATATCCAACCAAAATACTGATGAACTAGAAATCCAAAGCCGAATAAATTCAGCAAATAAATGTTTTCATGCTTGCAATAAATTACTTTCATCAAAATCTTTGTCCCGGAAAACAAAAATCAGGCTGTACAAAACAATAATTTGCCCAGTTCTCCTATATGGATCAGAAACCTGGAAATTAAATAAAAGAGATGAAAAGAAACTAATAGTATTCGAAAATAAAATTTTAAGGAAGATTTTTGGACCAATATTCGAGCTAGGAGAATGGAGAATAAGACACAATAGGGAATTAAGGCAACTGTATAATAGCACAGATGTAATTGGAGAAATCAAGTGCCGAAGAATCAGATGGGCTGGTCATATATTAAGAAGAGGTGAAGATTGTAGACTGGGAAGAGTTTTAAAGGGAAACACTACAGGAAGACGACCCCGGGGAAGACCTAAGCAGAGGTGGTGGAAGCAAGTGCAAGAAGATTTGGAGAGAATTGGGGCAACGGAGGATGATGCGAAAGACCGGTTAACTTGGCGAAGATTTGTTGGTGCGGCCAAATATCACCTCCGATATAAATGGCCCTGGGAGTAAGAGTAAGAGTAAGTATTGTCATTTGCTGTTTCTACAGTTGTTATTAATTAGGAAAGTCTTTAAACTAGCTAAACGATTTCCAGGCTGGTGCCATCGTTTTTGCTGCAAGTTGTGCCAAGGAATCTCAACGTCAATGTTACTGGGCACTTTGAGATCGAGGAAGGGAGTCGGTACAGCGGTGCATTCTCGGCTGAAGGACTCACTGAACAAGCTATTGAAGTTCAAGGTGGGTGGATCATGTTAACTTCTCACTCTTCTAATCTTAGCAAAATTAAAATATACACCTGGCCTAAACATATGTTCTTTGACATCACAAATAATCATTATCAACTAAAAAAAAAGAAGTTATCTTAGTTATTCCAAAGGCTAAAGGCTAGATTACAATTTCCCCCCTCGATTAAAAATCTGTACTAAATAAATAGGTTGAGCTATCTTTTACTGCCCTCCCCTCCTGCTCCATTGACACATCTTCTTTTTAGCTTTGAAGTATCAGGCCAATACAAAACATTCATTGGACGATTTATGTTATGTTAACAACACATAATAAGATAGTGATGCACTCTGCTACAACTGGTACAAACGGCTTATGTTGAATGTCCATTTACAGGAGATGTTAATGGAGCCAAGGGACGGTACTCTGGCTACCTGGCAGCCAAGATGGGCAAAGTTTACGGGAAGGTGAACACTAACATCGTCAACACCGCGGCAGTGACCAGCTGTAAGACACAGGTCCGCTACGTACTGCCAGGACGATCTTCCCAGAGCGTAGACTTCACTGGGAAACTGACCAACCACAAGCGCGGCGGCTTCACTAAGAAACAGCTGATGGTTAATCTACAAGTAGGTGTAACAGTTTAGCTGTGGAACTTTAATTTTCACAAATTATTTAAAAAATCAGGTGTTTGTTCACTTAAGTTTTTGTAGACAAAAAGATTATCGTTTGACGTTTATCATTTTGGAAAATATCTACCACATGTTTAACTACTTGCAGTTATTATTTAGTTAGCTTACGTACCCCTCAGAAATACAGAAACAAAATCTTTCCACTCCACTGACTTCTGCAAGGTATAAGATTGACCTCTTCTTCAATATTCTGTACATTTCGTAGTTTTCCTTCTAAACATGGGGTCCTGCTTTGCGGCATCAGTTTATTCCACCATCTTTCAAAAAAGGTGATTTAAGTGTTTCTTGCTTCAAACCACCATCCTTTATTAAAATTTATATCTCTTCACTAATTATCCTACTTTTCATACATGCAAATCACTCAAACCATTGTCAATGGCCTTACAGTCTTTTGCAAAGATAGCTTTTTATTGATTTGGAACACCCATAAAAATTAAAATGGAAACATGGCAGATACATAATATGGACATTAAATTTATGGCCTTTTTTAGTTGAATATTCCAGTAAATTTAATGTCCATATTATGTATCTGTCATGTTTCCATTTTAATTTTTATGGGTGTTTCAATCAATAAAATGTTATCTTTGCAAAAGACTGTACAAAACAAATGTTTAGATCTGACATATAGGAAGCTCCTACATGTTAAAATAGAACCTTTAACTTATGTGTTAAAATAGAATGCTCTTCATTTCATACAGCAGAAGCTTTTCTCAGTATTAGTTAATATATTGTGAAGTGAACACGTTGCACAAGAGTTCTTTTTCAGGTCACTCAGTTTCAGGTGGGATTGGTTTTTGCTTATCAGCTGCTCGACTTCTGGCATCTGGGCATGTACTAGGTTGTAGCTGAAAAAGGCTGTTTGAGGCTTTTTCCTCTAGGGGGCATCAGAATCTTTGTTCCTGCCTCTTGTATTCTCTACACATCTTTTCTTTCCCGTACAATAAGCAACAACAGCTGGTACTTACAGCATCTAATATCTTCCAGGAAAACAGCTAAACTTATGATACTAAAGGTTGATTTCCTCTCCCAGATGAGCCAAGCGCCCCAATACAACACCAAGGTCGGTTGGATCCTGTACAGAACCAAGATGTACGTGGACAGCAATGTGGACTTGACTGTGGGCAAGACTCAATGGAAGAGTCAACAGCTGTATCACAACAACCTGCAGACGACCAACAAGACGTTTGAAGTCATCCTCAGCCTAGAGTCGCCCAGCAAAAACCTGGACTACAGAGCTGAACTGCAGTATAAGGTAAGTGTCTTTTATAATATTTTGTGACTTAGGAAGAGCAAAATTTAAGTTTGGTATCTAAGTGATTTGCATAGAACCCCATGAGTTTGATAGGAACAGAAGAAAGAGTTGCTACCAATAACTCAATTGTGTTTTGGTTGTTGTCTGTTGTTGACACAAGAAAATTTCTATTTAGAGGGAATAGATTGGTACTGTTCAGAAACCATAACTTCTGGAAAAGCCTTGAATGAAGCAAATGTTTTGTGACTCTTTTGCTAATAAATAAATAAATACTAGTATGATGAGACTAGCAGGTGGGATAACCTTATTTTGGGTTTTATTTGACTTTCCAAATGGGTGTATTTTTTTGTCTCTATTAAATACATATCTTTCTGATCATCACTGCCTGCTTTAATGCTTGTGCTATTGTTGCTACTGCAGTTATTTGCCATTGCCCATCAGATTTTGAGGAAGTTCAACAGCTGACTGGTTTATGGTGTAATTAAAATCTGGAATTCCTTGCAGACGACGGATGACAGTGTCCACGGCCACGCACTGGCGCAGCTCAGTAGCACCAAGAGGTTCCTGGCGCGCGCTGACTACTCTGACAAACAGCCCCGGCGCACCGTGCAGCTAGAGGCTGCCAGCCCTTGGAACCGGGCGGCGCTGGAGACGGAACTGATCACAGAACCGGCGCAGGGAGTCAACTGTTACGCCAAGATGACGTGGGGCGCGGTGGAGATGCCGAGATGGATCTCTGCTACTGGCAGGTAACTGTGTAGGGAAGTAAAATAGGTTTTACTGATCAATGATGTATACAACTTTTAGAAAGTAAGATAGTTGCATGAGAATTTTTTCTCCTAGGACGCTATACTCTAGCCCAGGACTATTTTTCACATTACTATAGGCTAGGCCTAGGGTTTGCGATTGAAACATAGCTTCATTTAATTATGAGATTATTCCTTCAACAACCCAGAGATATATTATTTCACTGTTTTCAGATACCTGTTTGAAGAGACCCCTCTTAGTGCTACAGTAATGGTTGAGGGGAAGGTTGAAGTGATTGATTGGACGGACCCGATAGAATTTACTGGGTTATGGAGAGCCAAGGTTCAAGACGGACTAATAATCAGCGAAAGTGGAGTCACTGTGTTCGTCAACAAGGAGAAATACTCTGTGGAAGTCGGTTACGTGAAAAACTCATTAAAAGGGTGAGTCGGTGCAATACTTCTATAATAGGGGATGTTTTGTTTCAATTTGAATTTAATTGAATTTTTATTATATTTTTTAATATTGAATATTTGTGATCAAATATTTACGTTATTATTACAACCCCTCATTCACTGACTGACATGGATTTAATCAATAGCTATTCACTGAATCTACCTACGTAACGTAATCTGTACCATAACATTTTATAGATTCTATTTTTTTATAGAGTAGACTAGTAGAGTTGTTGCATCATATTCTTATCGCATACTTGTAATGATTATACTTATCATGAACTTTAGGGAGAGTGGGTTCAAGGATGAAATATTACGACACAATAAATATGATTTATTTTGTTGTTACTGGGGGCTAGATTAATGTTTGAATATATTTATTACTGAGCCAAGCTAAAATACTAAGTGTTTGTTCAACTATTGGAGCTTCAAACATTCGCACACCCCTAATAAAAGATCTTAAGCCCACAGGAATGTTAAAGTAGAGGTTATATTTCTATGCATTTTGTAACTTTTCTAACTAGGCATAACGAGGACTTTTGTTTAACTGGAAAACCCGTTATCTGGACTGTCCTCGATCCCGAGGATTCCAAATAAGAGCGTGTCTACTGTGGTGTATTTTCAATCAAAATAGTATTTTTTTCCATTTTACTGGCAGTTGAGTATATACAAAATGTCCAGTTTTCATTCTAGAACTACAATTTCACATTTCTAATTTTGTTTTCATATTGTTATAGAAAAAATGATATAGAGGTGAAGTTAAATCTACCCGACAACTCTTACAAAGGAAACTTCCTTCTGGTCAATAATCAGGAGAGAAAGAATGTCACTGTTCGATTGGATTTGGAAAAGACTTTGTACTTCACAACTCAGGTAGAAGGTTTTTCTTTCTCATTATCATTTTCTGGGCGTTAAAATGTTTAATATTTAAATATTATTTGGTAACTCCACTTTACATTAATTTTTTGTGGAGCTTATAATTATTTGGTGAGTCAGTGTCTCAGTCGGTAGCACCACGGATATTTCCCAATCCATGGAGCGAATATAGTGCATGAGAATTGAGAACTCTCTCAATCACTCTCTCCATGAGAATTTGCTGGTCTTCATATACATTGGAGGCACTGTTTTAATAGCTTACCAAGCTTACTGCCAACAACATCAAGTGAGCACCAAGTGAGTATGTTTTGTAGAGCTCAACTTTTATTTTTATTTTTTTTTAATTCCTCAATTTTTTGTTGTCTCTCAACGCTGGTGGCATAATAAAGTTTGTTGTAAGGGAATGATCTTTTTACCTTCGAACGTAGACCTTTGATAGCATAAAGACAAATGTCTTCTGGGTCTGGTAACGATTGTTTTGGATTCCAACCACCGACCTTCAGATTTGATGGCAAGCACTATAACCACTCGGCTACCCAGACAATTAACGCCAGAAAACTGTGCCCCAATGGCAGCTGGCCATGAAAGCCATAGTGTATAGTGTAATTTATGTGATTAATTAGTTCACAAGCTCTCCTAATCCATGTTCAATCATAGTTGCAGCTCTGGAAAGGATTTGATCTTCAGTTATTCTGGGATTACCTCGAGGACAGGACCCAGTCTGTAGTGGTACAGTACAAGACTTCTCCTAGATCTGAAGTAGCGGTCGTTTCCATGCCGGGCCACTACGCTTCCCTCACTGTGGATAAACTAGCACCTGGGTACGATTTGCATTTTCTTCTTTTAGTTTCTCCTCATGTACATGGTAGGCTACATGGAGAAAGTATTGTTTTGTAAAGCTACAGACTACACCTGTGATTACATGTGTGTACTATGATTTGTGTGTTAATCCATGGTATCTCCAGGTAAATCTTTTTTCATTTTTTGGAAATTTTGATTTGTAATGGCGATTTTCCTGTAAAACCCATAAAATGACGGAAAAATTGAATTTTTACAAAAATATCTTGAATGCTTTTTATTAAAATTTAGTATTTTGAGGTTCTTTGAACCCCTAAACAAAGCGGTATAACCCCTGATGCTGTAAAATTTACGGTTCAAAAGTTATTGCAATATTTGTGATTTGACCTAAAAATATCATAGTAAAGCAGCGTTCACACGAAGTCTGAGGCACCTACCTGCCTCAAGTTATTTGAAATACACTAGAGACAAGTAAATGTCCCTTTAAAGAAAGCAACAGTTAAACAATTTCTCATTGTAATCAATAGTCTATGCGTATGACTTACCTATCAATAGTTATGGCCAGTCTACTATACACTGGCACAATTTCAAAGCCATGTTCAAACGAGGCCAGTAGACAGGCAGGTTACCTGCCTCAATTACTTTATACCTGAGGCAAGTAACCTGCCCACCACTGGCTTTGTGTAAACACACGGCATTACAAAGGCAAACTCAAATCAATCAATGCCTCAGTACAGCTGTTCCTGTATTATAGCAAATCCATTTTGCGAACTAACTTTAACTTATAGAGTAAAACAAAAAGTATCTTTTCAACCCTAGTTCATTTTTACCTGGGCTATTTAAGCAATAACATTGATGCAACCTATTTTACCCAGTACTTAAAATATGTCATCAAAAAATAGGCAAATGTTAAATTTGTACCACTTTTTTGCAGGTTTTCCTCGATGAACATAACAGCGATGTGGGGAGAGAGCGAAGGATCTGCTACCAACGCGATCCTGTTGTCTTCCTTCTGGAACTTCAAGATGTCGTCTGTTTATCATCAGACTCTAGGATACGTAGCCATGCCACTCGTACAGGCTAATATTCACCTTACAACTCCGTTTGTGGGCTTCGAACAACAGAGTTTCAAACTGAATGTCAACAGCGTAGAAAATCCTGAAATGAGTCATCCGGAATATTCTTTCGTCAGAGAATTCAAGGTGATTTATCTGATTTGGTTACATTATGTTTGACATACTTTGGTTGAAATTGTAAGAGTTTCAATAAGACCATTCAAAAGTTAACCCTAAGAAGTAGTTATTGATTCATGGTTAGATTTAAGTCTTGTAAAGTTGTCAAGGTAAGTTTAGAGTTGGTGAGACCGTGAGTTGACATTTCAAGTTTCAATATATTTTTATTCGGCTTCATATCACAGCCTAGTAATTTGGGTAGTCAGACAATAATAATTTTTTACACTATTTTAGCATAAATATTTTTTACTCCCCTAGCAGTTGCCATCTTTTGACTTAACAGTTCTTGTATGATTTTCAGTTGAAGAATTTATAACAAAAATATTGTTTACAGGTAGAAACAAAGTGGCAACAACAGTTTGTTGATTTTGACTTCACCCATGAAGCAAGATCCAAACAAACTTCACTGTCGAATGCTTACACAAAAATTCACCTTTTACAACAATCGTTGACGTCAGTGTCGTGTTCAGTGGACTCGTCGTTGGAAGCTCTGAGGGAAGTGTCTGTAGTGGGTTCGGTTCAAGATCAGCAGGAATTTTCAGACGATGTAATGACACATAGTGAAAGGAATCATAGCTTGAATGTGACTTACAACAATTGGGTTTTGACATCAAACTCTACGTACACTCCTGGAGATCTGAACGTGCTTGTTGGAATCAGCGACAAAGAAAAAGAAGAGACCGTCATGTCAGGGCAAATCTCAGTTGGTGACAATTCAATCATTGTTCAATCGTCTTTCTCACCCAACAAGAAAGTGTCATTCAGAAGCACATACAGTTGGCCGTACCATATCGCTGCAAGTCTTGAGACACCCTTTGCAGGTTTCGAGAAGTCTAACATCCAGCATGATTTTTACGTAGAAGATAATGGGTTGCAAACAAGACTGGTTGGAGAGGTCGGAAAAGAGTTTTTCACATTCTCCACAAATTTGCTCAAGACTCAATCAACCTTAGAAGGAAACGTATCTATTTCTTCATCTTCAGAGTTACCAGACGTGCACGCTAGAGTGGAACATGAAATTTACAAAGATGATCAAAAAACCTCTCTGAAAGAGGCTTTTGCGGTCACTCTAAGCAAAGGGGACAAAGTGCTACATAGCAGTGGCCTTTTGTCTTTAGTTGACCTCAGAGATTCTTCATCCTCAAACACAAAACATTTGAAAACATTAATAATTTTACCTGGACACTTGTCGAGCTTCAACTACTCTCTAAACACCCAAGTGAAGACAACCGGTGTGGAGAAGAATCATGAACTGAATCTACTTTGGAATAGTGAAAGAATGCAAGTGGGATTAATTCACGAAGGTTTACATTCTCTCGCTGGATTTGTAAAAAGAAACAATGACAAAAAAGCTGAACTTTCTTTCAAAAAGCACTCCAACTCCAATTACAAAATGGACTTATACTTACATGGCGGCTACTCGATCAAACATCGGTTATTTTTCCCCAGCTACACAAACTGGGAAAATTTCTTGGCTGTTACTTCTCCCACGGGCAAATTGATAGTGAAGAATTTGCAAACGTTGAATGGAGACAGGACAAGTTTCGTACACAAAACCACTATATCTTTGAACAAAGAAGTTGCTTATGTAGATTTTGTCTATAATCTCGACTCTAAGTCAATGAAAGTTCAAAACGCCTTGTTCTCCACGACTACTCCATGGTACAATCCTGTAGTAACTAAGTATGATCTGGTGGTCGATACTGGAGCAACAACCAAGCACGAGTTTGAGCTCAAGTATAAACAAGGACAGGTAATAAAAGGAGTATTTGACATTACGGTCTCGGATAAAAAACACTCAGCATCATTCAATCTGTATTCACCCTACTGCAAAGACCTTTCTGGTAAGGTTAGTTTTGAGAACAATCAAATTGAATCGAGAGGAAGTTTTGTTTTGAATGCAGATGGAAAACAACTCAACGGTGATCTTCAGCTAGTCAAAAACTGGATAAACCCTCAGTTCTCAGTTAGCCTTGATAGTTCCAATGAGAACATAATAAAAGTTACTTGTGGTTACAATTTAGGTAATATTAATAAAAATGAAGGCATCATTTTGAGACATCATTTTGAAGCCTCATATTACAATGAAAATATAACTCTTGAAGGAATCCACTCATTCACTAAAGATTCCCTAAAGATTGATTTGAATGCAGAAACACCTATTATAGGCTGGAAATCACTCTCGTTTGGTTTTGACTCAAAGTTGTCTCGACAGTATTCAATGTTTGTACTGAATGGTAAGAAGGATGAAATTTCCTTTGTGTTATCTGGAACTGGATCTTTCCAAAGTGATCTGGTTAAAGTCAGTGCCTCGATTGACTACTCAATCGACAAAGTGCCCCAAAAGCATTCGACTTTGTTTGAATACAACAGAGGTAGAGAAAGTTTGTTTGTTTCATTCAATTTCCAGAGTAATGATGCAAACTTAATAGACTTTAATATTAATCTCTTAAAAGAGCCTAACACTGTTGAAAATCAAGATTCATATTTGTTTACTTACAAAGCGCAAACTCCGCTGGAAACACTCCCGGATTCTGATGTGGAAATGAGATTTATCAAAAATGGAAAAGCTCAGAAGATAACCGGGGATTTCAACATAAATAACGTTAAAACTACATTCAAGGGAGAAAATACGTTCGACAGCTCAGGAATCGGCTATTTAGACATAAAGGTTAACACTCCTGATAGTAGAGTTGGATTTTTGTTAAAACATACACGTGGTGATGATCAAGATGATTCTTATTCCGTACAGATTATTAATAATAGTGCAATGTACATTAAAGGCACCGTCACAATTCTGAACGTGGAGAAAGGATTGTGTATAATATACAGTCTTATGTCGTCTGTAGAAACTTTCGGTGATATCGAAGGAACTACTGTTGTGAAGCCAGGTAACAGTTCATATAACTTTACTAGCTCACTTACTGTTAACGGTGACAACTCAAATATCTCATACAACGTATCAATCAGTGAAAGCGATGAAGAAAAAACCAAGCATGACCTGAACGTATTGGTAAATTTCAGAGGTTTAGAAACTAAATTTCAAGGGGACTTGGAATATAAAAGTGTTAACTCAGAATTGGTTCAGTTGAAAGGACAAATAACTGATGGGAAATCAGTAAGCAGCATTAACTATGCAAAATCTTCTTTTTCAGAAAGGAGTTTCGAAATTGATTTGTCGGATATACTCAAGATTTCAGGTGGACAAAATGACTCCGGTTCAACCTTATCTTTGAAAACAATTGAAACCGAATCCATCCCAAACTTTTGTCTTGATTTGGCAATATATAATGTTGGAATTTCATTTAAAACCGAAAGTAAATTTGTGGGTAAAATTTATTTCAAGGCCGAGGTTATTGATGTGAAAAATCTCTCCATCTCTACAGAATTAAACAGTGTTAAGGTAAATGGTGTTCTACATGTTGTACCAAGTGATTCGGTCAATTTAAAAGTGACGAGTAATATTCCTCATTGGAGTGAATTGAATATCTTAGTCAGACAAAGCAATATTGATTATAATAAGAAAAACTATGAAATCAATGTTCGCAAGGAAAATCAAGAGATATTTAATCTGAACGCTGTAGGGAATTTCAACCCTTCGCAAGGAAACGGCATTCTCTCATTAACAATGCACAAGTTCTTTATCAATTTAGAATTAAATTATGAATTTTCTTCTTCTTTCTCGCTTGGTTTGAACTACAATATCAATGGAAATAAACAACACACTGAAGGGAAACTCACTCTTTTGCCTGATTCTGCCAGACTGGACTTAGCAACTCCAATAAAAGGGCTTGAAGATTTAACGTTAATTAGTACTTTGAACAGGAAAAATAAGAAAATTGGACTAGTCATGGAAAGAAATGGAAAAACTATCACAGCGGAAATGTCTACAACTGTCGAAGGTCAAAGAGTTATTTTGAAAGGTACAGTTACTGATGGGAAGGACGAGTTTGCATTCTCGATCGGAGCCCAAAACGGAACAGCTGATGAGCCCAAGTCAGCCTCATTCTACATTACCGCGTTCAAAAACAAACTGGCTGTTCTTATGATATCTTTGGATGGTTCATACGATCTTGTAACAAGGGCTGGAATAAAATTCTCATTTTCATCCTACTTCTACAAGCAAATTTATTTTGAGATTTCGTCACTTAAGGAAGAACACAACCAAACCTTTTTAATCAACTATATGTTTGGCATTGATACTGCTTATTCCCTAAAATCTACCATTGTCAAAAAATTGTCTAGTCCCAAACTACTCATCGAATCCAACTTTGGACCTCAAAATACAATAATTGATATCAGTTATGATATTGGAAGCCCAGTAAAAGCTGTTTCCCTGATGTTCAGTCATGATGATAAGCTGTTTAATATTGTCGGGAATGTTTCCTGTACAAACCTGAAAAGCCAAGTGGTGTTAACTTGGAAAAATGAAAATGTTTTGAATGGTTTGAAGGACTTGAATATTTTGGGAAGTTATGATTTCGAAGATAAGTCATTGATCGATGCTTTGATCAAAGTGAATGGTGTAAAATATTTCGATCTTTCCTTGAAGAGCTTGACCCTCTATGAAACTAAATTCCAATCAACTCTCGTCTCTAACAAGTACATTAATAATTCATACCACCTCAACGTGGATTATAACTTTGCTCTACCAGATTTCAGTGTGTCTGCCCATGTAGTATTAAATGAAGAATATTACAAAAGTAATGCCAATCTAACTTGGAACGATTCAGCTGCTATAGTCTTCTACCAGCTTCACACGAATGCAGGCTACGGGTTTGAGAAAGCTGTAATGTCGGCTCATTACATAACTAGTGGAACTAGCTTCTCACATTTCATAGATTTCACTATTGATGACTCAACTTTGTTCCATTTAGCTTCAAACATATCACAACCGAACAGATTTTCTTTAGACATCATATTACCTGACTCTCTATTCCTACCGTTTGTGAAAGAAATAAGCACTAAACTAATTTTAACAGAAGAGGAAAAGAAGATTGTATTTAAGTACTTGTCAGGTTCACAAGAGAGGAGAAAACTCGACTTGGCTATTTTAGTGAAAGGTCATCAATGTATGGTGCATGTGGGTCGGTCTGAAATCTACGAAGAAGGAAATCTGCAAGCTGACCGTTTCATATTTTCTTACAAACTATTGAAAAACATATTGGAGTTTGAAACTTCCATGATTTGGGAAAACAACGAGCTGTTTACTGTATCTTTCACCAAAGACTTATTGTGGGGTTTGAATGGAGTCGATGCACTTCTCAGTCCTGGTGGCCGACATATTTGGCGGGTCGTTTTTGTGAGTAAAGACTTTTTTGAGTTTTCAGGAGTTGTCAGTGGAAACCAAATTCAAATAGTCTTCACTCACCCTTCCACCATTTACCACAAACAACTTGGCATTACCAAGTTTGCGTATGCAAGCAAAATTGAAGAATTTGAAATGTTCAAAATTAATTATAATTTAGGTGACGTAGTTCGCAGCGAAGTTAATTTTAATAGTCCCAAGGCTTTTGTGATGAACCTTTTAAATAAAAGAGAAAGTTATGGAACGTCTGCTAGCTATGAGGTCGTACACCAAACTGGAGCTTACCATGGCAAAGAGGAAGGTCTCTGCGAAGGTGCCAAGCTCACCGCTTCAAAAGTCACATGTGATACGTTGCACTACAAGTTGTATCAAACAAATACTGATAATCCTTTAAGCCTCCACATAAAATTTAACTGGGTCACATCACAGCTAAATGGTATTTTTTCAAAAGGACAGCAAACTTATAGATTCGGTGGTATGGCAAATATCAGCACAATTGAACCGATGTGTTCGGGTCTATCAATGTATTTCAATTCATCAGCTAGCCCGTCGACACCATTCATTCTTAAATACGAAACAAACTGTATGAACTCACTGAGCGCTTCACTCAATCTATTCACAAAGGATGCAATGGCTCTGAATGTAGTTTATGGTTCGAATTACACGAACAAAAGCCTTTATATTCAAGGATATAACATATATTATACGCAATGGAACATTTCTGGAGTCCTAAATAACGACCGGAATGGCAACGTAGATATTAATCTAGACAAAAATAACATCAAAGTCAGTTTTCTACCAAATTTACTGAATAAGATGGTGTTCACTGTGAGAACCACTTATAATGGACTAAGAAAATTAGAGATCTCACTCAAAGATAAAACTGCAAATAAATTTTTTGTTCAAGACGAGTACTTAGTAGCCAACTTCAAGCTCGAAGGATCAAGGACAGACACCGAATGGAACTGTGAATATAAACATTTCAGAAACAACACTGTTATATTCAATGTTGTATCTAATGAAAACCTGGCATTTTACCTTGAATTTGAAAAGGGTAAAGAGATTTCTTTAAAAGTAAACAAAAATGGTCAACTGTATGAGGGTAAAGGCTCAATAGAAAATTCAAACGAAAATAAACAAGGGGGTGTAATATTGTCACTAGATGGACACCAATATGAATTGAATTTTGAACATTTAACAACAGAAGAAGGCAAAATTAATTCTTCAATAACATTTGACACTCCATTTGATCAATACTTTGCTAAACTTTGTATTCAAACAAAATCTGGTTTACGGTCATTAAAATCTATTCAATTTATGTCACTTCAATACAAAACACCATATTATCCCTTTGACTCAGGTGATATTGAAGTGGAATATTACGTCAAACCTGTTCTGTCCGAACAAGTGATTTCACTTGAAGAGTTTAATTTCTCCACTGAGAAAGAAGCAAGATACGAACTGAGCTACATTGAATTGATGTTTAAGCTTAGGTTGAAAACAAACGATATAAACATTGAAGATGCACTTATTGCTGTAACCTTTGGTGACAAGTACAGCATGAATGTGAAGCTCGATGGAATTCATCTGAAACTTGACACACTTCTACTGAATGACTTTAAAACGTTGGCTAGCCAAACAGACCTTGAAATCGAGGGAATTGATCACCCTTACCTGAATGGAATGAAAGGAAAATCATTTTTGAAAATATATTTAAATCCAAAAGAATACAAAGTGATAGCTCTGTTGAGATGTCCATTGGTTGAAACTGTGTTGGTCACCTCGGATTCTCTAAGAGATAGCAATAATTTACTGCGAACAGCTCTTGTAGTTTATGGAAAAGAAACTATATTAAAATTTGACACTAATGTGGTATCTGATGGAATTGTTGGATCAGAAAATGATGTCTTTGTACATCTGTACTCCCAATGGCAGAATAGAAATATACTGGAGTTTAGATTGGACATCAAACAGTCAGATAATACACTTTCAAAAATTAATTTTGACATTGATTCTGAATTATTAGAGCTTAAAGCCAGATATAGTAGTGAAGAATTAGATGGTGTTTTGACTAAGTCTTTGAAATTTAATGTAAATGAAACCTATTTAGGTTCTTTTAATCCTGAAGTTGTCTTCAAACGCCAAATTGACAAACACTCATACATGGAGTACAGCTTGGATTTCACAAATGGATTCTTGCATGAAAACTACCTATGGAAAGGAAGAGGTAATTTAAAAATACCAGATCTCAGTTTATTTTCCATCGATACTAAACCTTCTATTGTCGCTGATATTTCGGTGGTGTCAAAGTCTGTCCAATATGCATCAGTGATTGAGGTACTCTTCAAACGGAACAAATTAGATGCTTCAGTTAAGTGGAAGAGATCTGTTAGACCAGCAAATCAAGATGATGATCAGCAATTTTCATCTTTGTTATTCGGAGGGGAGATTCAGAAAAACAGTGCCGAGTTCTATTTAAATAATAATAGATTTTTCGGTTCCATAGAAAGTACAAAATCTCAAACATCTATTAGCGTCAATCTGGTCAATTCCAATCTCAACAAGAATATCACAGTACTTGCGAGTGTACAGTTCACCCCTGTATTTTTGATGACAGTGTCACACACAGTTTTTGATAGTCCCTGTTCTGTTGAAATAAAAGTAAGTAGAAAGCCTCAGTACATAGAATCAGCTGTGATAGTGGAATACAACAGTCTTAAACAACAAGCTTACGTAAATGTATATTTGGACAAGAATCCCCGGTCTATTGAACTCGTTTACATTGATATTTGGCAGCAAATACATCAAGTATCCGGCCAGGTTGAGGAAAAAGACGAAGAGATGACTATTAAAGGAACAATAAATTCACCTGCATTGGATGAGAATTTTGTAATAATCAACGTTGGTAATAAAAATGACAAGTTTGACCTCAATTTGAGTGACATGGCAATCTTCAAGGCATTTAAAGACGATGAATCCTTACTTCTTAATCTTTTGATTTTTGGCAACGACTACAGATTTGATTTCAAAAACAAAAGTGGAGTCAATGAATTAACTTTAGAATCTCCAATTTTAAGTGGCAATGTCATCTTCTCACTAAACGAAACTTTGTTTAAATCGTTTGTCACAGGTAATGTTCATTTCCATTCATATGATTTCATTCTTGACATGAACAAAAACCAACTCTTCAATATGTCAATTGAAAATGGAACAACAAATATTTTGAATGCCATAGTAGAGTTTGGAAATAGCAATGGTGTTGTCCAATTAAACATAGAATATAATTATTTCAACCAAATTAACAAACTAAATTTGAAGCACACTTCTGAACCAGTTCTTTTTGTTTTGTCTGTTAATAGCTCATTCTATCTTAGCAAAGGCTTTGAAATAATGCTCGGTCTAAAGAATGAAGAAGTTATTACTGGAATTTTTGAAGTAACACATGAAAGGCCTTTGTTGAAGAGCTATCTTGTCTTGAGTAAAGAAAATAGATCTCTGGAGATGACTGCTGAAGCCCCTCTTTACTCTGAGATGGACAAAGCTAAGATCAACGGTGTTTTCAAGTTTGCTGAAGCCAGTGACTGTGAAGTACGACTGTCAGGTGCTTTATCGTCTGCTGAAACACTTATGGCTCATGTTTCCCTTCACTTGATAAACAGAGAAGATATTTTCTCCTCTGGATTGATTATCAAAAATAAGTTAAACAACTTCAAAGGTGTTGAAATAACAGTTGATATACCACTTCAGTTTTCACGAGACATGAAAGCCAATTTCATCGTTCAACTGCCTTATCACAAGTCTTACGAGTTCACTTCTTCTCTATGTATCAGTGAAAATAAAGTAGCAAGTTCTGCTTTTTTGAAGTGGCAAGAGTTTATCTATTCATTGGATTACGTTTACGGCGATACTCCATTTTACGCAGCGTCCTACGAATGGAATATTCACTATTTGGACAAGAAATTGCAAGTTGGTGCTTGGATGAAACCCAAATATCCACTAACCGACTACATCTACTTTGTGGACCTCGATGAACACCGTTTGGTGCAGCTATCTCACGCGCTTTTACTTCAGAACAACCATTTCAAGAGTAAACTTGTTCTTGAATCCATTTTTAAAGGCTATGAAAAGTACGGAATCGATCTGGAGCTTCAAAACTTGAAATCTGGAAAAATAGTTAAGTTGCTTGGAAGTGCTCCTCAAATCGGAACAGATCTCGGTGTTGACTTTGCCTTTACATATGAAAGCTTGTTACATTATGCTGTATTAGCTCAAGTAAGATTTCCTTATGATAATCAAGTAAAAACTGCTAAAATGACATCCCTTCAAAAAATTCAAAGAAATGTAAACTATACAAAAATAAAACACTCTCTTGAATGTGACGATATCGGAGCAGTCGGGTGGGAGTTTGAAATGTTTGGATCAGCTCCTTTCTTCTGGCAAGGAGACCTTTCAGCTCTTGAAACCAAAGTGTCTTTCAAAAATGCCACATACTCGGCCAAGATCAAATCTTATCTTCAGCCTGACAGACTTCAAGTATCCTGTGTTTTAGAGGCACCACTTGTTAACTTCCAAAAAGGGGAACTGCATATATCAGGAACTAAAGAGTTAGTTGGGTCTGAACTAGTGTTTTCCCTCAACTCGAATGAAGTCGTCAATGCAACCATTTCTAAAGACATGAAAAACAATAATAATATCAAAATCTTGAGCAAGTGGAGGAATTTACTGTTCACTTACTTGTATGAAGTGAATGACGAAGAACTGGGAGTGAGTGGGTATATTTGTTGGGACCTGAATAGAAAAGACCTCTCTCAACTAGGGTTGTCGGTTGCTAAAAAAACATCTGAAAAGTATGAAACATCAACAGAATTAATTCTTCCATCCACTTTAGTTCCAAAACTTGGTGCAAAAGTTGTCTTTGCAAATAAGATAAATGAGCTGTTTACTTTGCTTCAATTAAACTTACCAAGCATTTCACTGGAAGGAAAGCTTGCTTGTGATCATTCACCTGCAATGTGGAAATCAGGCTTCCAGTTGAAGTGGACACCAAACGATAGTAATTCTAAAGACATCGGCTTATTTTATGTAAGGGAAGTAAATGAAGATGAGACGAAAACTTACTTTACATTACAACACTTTGCTTTGAAGAACGATATCATGTTATCGACATACGTCAAGAAAACCCTGTATGGTGTAAACCTTCAATATTCACCTCTTAAAGAAGAAGAAATAACTCTAGAACTGAGCCACTGGACTGTTCAAGATGGAGATAAAGACCGGACTGGGATTAAATTCACTGCTCTACACCCTGCATCCAAAACTCTTATTTACAGTTTGGCCAATGCCACTTCAACTCTTGACTTCTTCGAGGGTGGCATTTCTGTTGCTTACAGCGGAAAAGATTATGAGAAAATCAAGTACGTCGAGATATTTGGAAAAAAGAATAGGAAAGAGCCGCAAGTTTTCTTGGGTTTCTCAAGCAATGGAAACACTTTGGGGGTCAGAGGTTCTGTGTGGAAGAAAGAAAACTCTTTGCAAGGAATGACTCTGGAGGCTAGAGTGAACCAGAACGATCCTTTCAGAGTAGAAGTTGTCCAAAACCTGGAGAACCCTGGAGTAGAAGCAGAGATTAGTTACAGCCTCAGTCGTAAGTATCGAGCTTATCTTGGAATGCCAAACAGCAATGAACTGACAGCCAGCTTCTCACACGGTGTATGGAAGACCGAACACTGACGCTTTGGCAACTTATTTGAGATTGAACTCGTCAAAAATGCTCTGGGGGAAATTCGAATTCCCTCCAATGACTGAAGTAGGACAAGAACTTTACAACGGTGTTTTGGACGAATACACCGAAGTCACTCTCGTATCAAAAGCGATTTCTGAAGGGGATTTGATTTTGTAAATGAAGATTTCTCAGAAAATTGTCACTCCTGTTAAACGGTGTTTCAAGCCATCACAAGATGCTGGTTGAACAGACAAGTGTAGAAATGATTGTTGTTGTAAAAGGATTTGCAAGCTTTGGAAACACTTTGCGAAAATGCTACGAGATGGACCACCTCTTCGTAAAAACTGCAGTTCATCATTTGAAACAGTTGAGGTAAGTTTTATTAAGATTGTCTTAAATACTTATCTCAAATATTATGACTGGTAAAAATAACTTTTTAAGTTACTAATTATCATGGTTAATTAAAAATTTCTGTTAAAACTTTTTCTATTTTTGCATCTTAAATTCCTTAGGGATTTTCTGCATTTCATAAATGACATTCATAGTGCAATCAGGCATAGTCATTTGGAAACGATGCTTGAAGTTCAAATCATGTTAAATATAGGTTTGGTATGTTGGTGTGTTATGCATATGTTTTGCCTTTTTATAAATGTGTCTATATACCCATATACTTTGAGAAATCATGCTTATTTGTTTATTTTCTAAATTCCATAACAATAGAATATTTTTAACTTAAATGAATCTTCACAAATATATTGTACAAAACCTATTGCAGTAGACAATTACTTATGAGACTCCGAATTCTGAATTTATTTTAAGTGCTTAAAATGTTCCTTTGTGCATGAAAATATTTCCAAGAACATCTCTCACTAAACTCATATTTATTGTATTTGCAGTATGAAAGCCCAGAAATACATGTCCTGCATCGTTAACGGAGCTACAGAGGCATTCAATTACGTTTCCGCTCCCGTCATAAAACTAGCAGCCAAAGTTTGGGAAGTTGTTGAACCAGTTCTTCACCAATGGAAAACTCTTCTTTGTGATCTAAGCGTGAGTGTTTATTCTCAGTTTGACTCTAAGTATATTGAGTGTAAATAATGTTTACTTTGGTAGCTGAACCAACTACTTTGTTATTGGTAGAGTTGAAACATCGTAACAAATATGGATGAATTTTTGTTTAGGTAAATATTTTACCTACGACCATTTTTAAAGTAGCCGTTTCAGTTTAGTTCTTAGAACTGTAAAGTTTCACATAACAGCATTGTTTACTTAACAGCATAGTTTTATTTTACTTAACAACACGGGTAACAGACCAATGAGGTTTAAGGATTGAGAGAGAGGAAGTAAAATATTATAATGCTTCGAACTTCAACACTTCAACTAATCAGCTGTTTACCAATTTAATTGTTAACGATTGGTGCAATTTGTCATTGGTACAATGAGTCGTTGCATCAATGTCAGTGGCAATGAGAGGTTATTAGTAATTAAAAACCGGTCGTAAGTAAAGTAGTGGAAACCCGCGAAAGTAGTGTAAACGACACTCGTAGAAGTTTTTAAGGCACTCGCCAAAGCTCGTACCTTAAATTTTCTACTCGTATCGTTAACACTATTATTACGCGATCGTTGCGTAAACTACTATTATTGGTTGAATTAGTTTTGATACCTTTTTAGATTCTATGAGCCCAGTTGTACCAAAAGTCTGCGAATTTCAAATACATATTTTAATCAACTATCCTTCCCTCCCCAACCCCCTCTTCAGGTGACCATGGTTTGGGTTTGGTTTAGATGAAAGTGCAAGAATTGGAAATGAATAAAACTCTCTCTTCCTTAGTTTAAAATGCTATCAGTATCGGCGAAATATTCTAATAGTGTAAAGTTTTGTGTCTCTTTTGTGCCAATCTAATAACTTAACGTTAATCACCAGATGAGCGGAAAATCACCGGTGACTCATCTATCGGACATGGTGGACAAATACAGAGATTTCCGTCGGGTGGTGATACAACAGGCGAGACGAGCAGTCACTGACCTGCGGCTCAAGACCACCCAGTGGGAACTACGCTCGTCCGAGTGGCTGTCTCAAGCAGAGCTGGCTGTGAACGATGTCATGCAGTCTGCGCAACAGACAGTGTCTGCGCACGTGCAGAGAGTGGTGGACTACACGCAGACTCTGTTGGCTGGGTTCTCTGTACTCGGCAACACTGTGGAAGGTTGAAATTTTTTTATTTGTTCTGTTTTATGTCTCGTCTCTCATCATGGTCAATATTACGTTAACAGATGCATTAGAGTGATTTTTACTGTAAAGATTATCTAATGTACGAAAATCAAAAATACACCACCAAATAACTCAAAGATGGCTGTTCATACTAGATCATGTCACGTTTTGAATTCATAAGATATAACTCAGCAACCATATCCATGCTTCTTATTAGATGTTGAAGCTGAATATGGTGACATAGTGTATTTGTGCTGAGTCATATGCAAGACATATAATGGTATGTCAATAACAACAGAAAATTTAAAAAACAAGCAACAGGAATGTTTATGTTTTCCTTGCTATTTTCAAGAGGTTGATGGCCTCGTTAACCTTGAAAAGTCTGTAAAAAAGACAGTGCCTTTGTTGAAGCATATCCAGGGATTCAAGGGGTGAGCCGGTATGGTACAAGAGTTGGCCAAACTGATAAATTTAGTGACGGGCAAGGACCCAAATCCACTAAATGGATTCGCAACACGTCTAAACCTCTAAACCACCAATTTACTGACAAACTTTGGTTTTGTATTTAACTTTGGCTGCTATATTATTATAGTTATGTTCTTATTACTTTATGGTTGCAGAAATGGCAGACATCGTGTTGGAAGGGATCTATCGCATTAGAGAGGTCAGACAAACCCTGGAGTGGGGTGCAAGAGTTGTAGACAAAGTGAACAGCTGGTTCATGGACTTCAGGCTGGAGAAATACCACAGACAGCTGGAAAACTTCATTGACAAGTAAGAATGAAATACAGTAGGCTATAGTTCATAAACAGCTGATGATGGCTATACAGTTGGAATGAAACGTGGATAGTTCAAGTTATCAAAAAAATCCAAGTAGAATTTAGGTACAGTAATAAAAGATTTTAAAATGGAAAAATCACTTCATCATTTGATTGCATAGCTGTAACAGCTCACCCCTTTTTTGCTGGACATTTTCTATGCACAGGCCTCTGTGGGACAAGTGGACGGGCAAATGCAAGGTAAAAGAGGCTACCAGCCTCTAAAAAAATAAAGAGAAAAAAAGACTTAACCATAATCTATTAACTACAACATAACATTTGGTTATTTCTAGGGTTGTACAGCTGATCTTGTCAGATTTTGAAAAGAACTTTGGAGAGTACGAAGTCTACCTGATAAGGGCCCAACAGTTCCTCACTGGACAGTATGAAGAACTCAGTAAAATACCGGAAATCCACTACATCAGAAGAGTTATCGATCATGTTTACCAAAAAGTAAGTTTCATTGTAACATTTTTTTTAAATGTATTGTTGCTACACTATATGAAAATTTGAAGCATATTATCTGGTGTATGTTTATACAGGGTGACAAAAAAGTCTGGAAACGGTTTAATATCTTTTTAACTAAATTCGTTAGAAAATTCAAACCTTTTACATAAACTTATATGTATGAAAACTACTTTTTGCAATCATTGCCATTATTTGACCTTCACCAGGGGACGGCCCACGAGGAGTAGGTACATAATCTTTAATGTAAGCATAGGTTGATATGCACATCATTTTAAAGGTCTGGTCAAGTGGAGTTCATTGCCGAAAACCGCGTCAAAAAAGGTTCATCTGTTACAAAATGGCGGCAGTTCAAAGTTGTTGCGGAATATACCTGCAGAGGCCTTAGTATTGGTAAATACTCATAGTCAACATTAGCAGGGAAATCTGAAACCCGGTTAAATTTGTTTTGAAGATTGAATACTATTATTCTATGAGCTAGTTGACTTTAAAATACAGTTTAAGCTCTCAAACTAATGTTTAATACGAGTATTTGCCCATACTAAGGCCTGCGCAGGTATATTTCACAAGAACTTTGGACAGCTGCCATTTTGTAACGGATGAACCTTTTTGGACGCGGTTTCCGGCAATGAACTCCACTTGACCAGACCTTTAAAATGATGTGCATATCAACCTATGCTTACATTAAAGATTATGTACCTACTCCTCGTGGGCCGTCCCCTGGTGAAGGTCAAATAATCGCAATGATTGCAAAAAGTAGTTTTCATACATATAATTTGATGTAAAATGTTTGAATTTTCTAACGAATTTAGTTAAAAAGATATTAAACCGTTTCCAGACTTTTTTGTCACCCTGTATATGTCCCATACTCTCATCCTAGGGCGTTAGGATGTAGGGCATTGAAAAACTAATCAATTGAAAATTGAAACATTGGCATACACAAACACAACATTCAACTATATTAGTAGGAGTTACACTTTTTGTCTAAATATTCTATGAACTTTTTGATGGTCGTTCTTAGAGTGTTTATTATTACAATTTGTAACGATTTTGCTGCACACATTTTGGCTAATTTTATTAATTGGCATTGAACTATCACAATTCATAATTTGTTAGCAAATGAGATAATTAACTTCTTACACCCCTCTCTGCTCGTAGGATTTTACCCTTATGATCCACCCCATTGTGCTTGGTAGCTGTTCCAAGCAGTATTCTAAGATATTGTATGATATTTTTCGTGTTCAAAGGCAAAATGGCTCTGGGGCTATACAAAGATGAGCGAACAGCTGCGAGACATGGTGAGACAACATCTTGAGAACATGAGGGCGACTCTGAACGACATCGAGAACAGACTCGACCAAGAAGAGAGGGACATGAGGTTTGAGTATGAGTACAACGATGAGAACAACTCGCTCACGTTCAGCCAGGAGTTGCCGTTCACTTGGCGAGCGTTCAACGAGCTACCTGAGTACAACATGGAGAGTGGCAACGGAGGATACTCTTTGCCTACGTTGGAGTGAGTTCTGAGGTGTTTTGTTGAAGTTAAAAATGCATGCAATAACATCAATCTGAATGGATTTAATGCTTGCTTTATTTTTTAACACAACCGCACAACCCATTCAGGCTGTTTAGGGTGGGAAAATCAATTTTCCAAGGTTGATCGATTGTCTAAATTGCACTTTAGCCAATCCAAACTCACCAGTACTTATAATGTATTTCTGAGCTAAATATAGTTGAACAAAACTCTCTCAAACGTTTCTATTCAGTAAAAACCCATTTTTTGCAGAGGATGAGTAGGGACAAAATAGGTTCTCTGTCACACAAAGGATTTTACGTTTTAATTTAACTACTTCACATTTGGAATACAGGTTGTCAGAACACTCGCACAATATTGTTCAGTATTAGTGATCTACAGCTAAAAGTAATAGACACAATGTCTCACAATGACTCACCAGTGAGCGTGAGTGTTGATAAGGTATTGGAGCACTCACTGGTAAGTGCCACATAACAAACTGTTTAACCTGAGAAAATCTGCAAAACTTTTAAGGTTTGAGCATCCGGTTCATTGTTTAATGATGCTTCCTAACATTTGATGCTATAAATGACAAGGTTGGTGTGTTGGTCTAGAAACACATGAGAAACAAAACACACAAAACACCTATAGGCGGGAGATGAAAAAAACATGATTGAACAAAAGTACAATAACTATCAACATCAACAACGATTTGAAGTGTTTATTGTTTTACTTTCTTTGCAATATTTTACATATAAGTGTAAGACTAAAACAAGTTGATCAAAACCTTTGCAAAAAGTATGTTTTCACATTCGCGGTGGAAAAATTCCTTCAAAACCCCCTTAATAACACATATTATTATTTTAGTGTAGCCTTAGACCCCAAACTAGCTCTAGTATCAAAATCCGACCTGAAATCCGTAATCAACATAATTGACTCTTTGCCTTGGTGCTTTTGTAGGTACAGCAATATGGTACAAAATGTGGCCCAGTACGTCTGGCAGGACGCCAAGCTTCTGCCCTACCTCCTTCCTCCCCTGGGCTCGGATGCTGTTATCAGCAATCGCAAGGTCGTCACCTTTGATAACAGCTACTACGAGATACCGTGGACATGTGGCGAATACCTGTTGTCTGCGGATCTGTACCATGACACATTCTCACTGGTTTTGGACTTAGATCAGGTAATTTTGCTGTATAATGGTGTGAAAATAGGTTGTTTTTAATTTCCTACCTTCAAATCTTATAATGCTAGGCTCTAGCCTGGAATAATTTTATACATTGAGGCTAGGCCTAGAGGATGATGGTACATAGCTAAAATCCATTGGGTTTTAATGAGGCAACAGCTTTGTTACTGATCAAGATCAGCTGATTCTTAACGTGTACCATTTTGTTTTGCCCAATAATCAAGGACAGTTGGGTACTACAGTTTCTAACTGTAAAAAAGCATGTAATTAATTGATAGGCCTATTCGAGAATGTTAAGGATGTAACATAGAGCACAAGGGCTAAGGTTTAAAGGATTTTTATATTGATGGCAGCTTACCTCGAGGAGGCTCCAATTCAAACCTTCCTTTGTTTAAAATGCTGTCAGTGACAGTGCAACATTCTACTTCTTATGTTTCTTGTGTCAAAGTTGACTATTTCCATATCATGATTTTCCAATAGTTATGTGAAGCAAAATTTCTAAAATCAAAATTAGTTGTTTGTGAAACCTAACATCCCTTAATAGCAATACATGTATTTCTCTGATTCTTGGTCACTGTCAAAGATGCAAAAAAAAATATCCAACACATTAAACCACTCCCGTTAAATCCTACTCTTTATTTCAGGATAAACGGGACTTGCTGTTGACCACACAAGGTGTAAAGATCCTCGTGAAAAACAATTTCGAAGTGTACATCAACGGACAGCTGGAAGACTTGCCGTTGACGTTGAGCAACGGAAAGCGAATCACCATGGAAAGGAGACCTCACAGTGTTTACGTTCACAGCGAGGATGGTTTCAGTCTTGAATGCACAGCTTACCAAGAGCAGTGTAGGTTCCATCTGAACGGTTGGTACACTGGGAAAGTGGCTGGACTGATGGGAACGTACAACAATGAACCGTTTGACGATTTCGTGGATCCATCCAGGTCTCCTACCGAGTCTGTGGAACATTTCGTCAACTCTTGGCAAGTAGACGATGTGCCTTGTGAATCAGGATCTTCTGACGAGTCAGACGAATCACCACCTTCTTACGAGTCTGAGTGTGAACTGTTTTTCTCTTCGCAGTCGTCTCCGTTCTACCCGTGTTTCCACGTTGTCGAGCCGAAATCCTTTTACGACATGTGTTTGGTGAATGCTCGTAAGGGTAATGTCTGTGGAACTGTGTTTGCCTATTTGACAAAATGCACTTCGTCAGGCGTTCAGTTGTGGATGCCGGAGTTTTGTGGTGAGAATCTATTGAAAGTTAGTGTTTTGTGTTGATTTCATTTGTGATACATTTTTGTTTGAATTGCCTTTTTTCAGAAAACTGGGTTGCATGTATGACAGCAGTGTTTTAACCCATTTGCATCGGATGACGTACCAGTACGTCAAGTCAGCAATGCCCAGTATCACGGCTGACGTACTGGTACGTCAGAGGCTCGAGAACGCCTGCAGCCACCAGCCGTCTTCCCGCGCGTCAACCACCTGTTTACTAATATTTTCCCGCTAATTTTGTGTTGTTTTTGTTCCCGCCACAATGTTCCCGCAAAAAGTTCCCGCCATAATGTTCCCGCCATAATATTCCCGCTATAATGTTCCCGCTATAATGTTCCCGCCTTATTGATCGATCTTTGTGGACATAGTGTCAGTTTCGCTTTAGTAGTTATGTGACTAGTAATGTTGTGATCGGCAGTTTTCCATTTTACAAACAATGGCAAGTTATCGTGAGCAGGCCCACTTTTATAAACGGGCAGACTGGGCATATGCCCAGGGGCGCCGGTGGTTGGGGGGCGCCCTGAACCAATGCCAGCACTAGGAAAAATAGGGTTTTATCAGCCAGGATTTCAAAAATAAAATGGGTGATTTCAACTTGTAGTTAAGTGATTTTCCCTTATTGCAAAAGTAAATAAATACAACAAAATTGAAAATACTCGACCTTTAGATTATACCTCGTGTAGTCAGGGAAAGGCAGGCAGCAGTGTGAACCGGGCGCACTCACTATACTATCAGAGGCAGGGAGGCCTGCATCGGGGCTATAGAATGTATTCTATAGCCCCGGGCCTGCATGGTGGAAGGAAAATACATAGGTGTGCTATTCCCATCATATGCTGACGTCACTCAGATTGCAAACACCATTTTACCATTGAGAAAAATTATAAAAACACTAACAATCAAATCAAAACAAACATATACTTATATGGCAATACATCAGCTGATTTTTTGTTTGCAATTTGAGTGACTTCAGCAAATTATGGGAATACCATGTAGGCCAGCTGTATTCTACAGGCCTGCGGTTCACGTGCCCCTCCTCTCCATCCCAGTCCCACCCCCGTCCCCACAAGTCACAACTACCAACTACCGCGCGGCGCCAGTCCAGTACAGTACTCCTCCCTCAGTAGTCACTAGGTTGTGTTCGTGTTGTGCCTGCTGCACAGTCGTCAAATCAGTTACAACACAACCTAAACTGTGACAGTCACTAGTCAGTATTGACACTCACACTACAGTTAGTGAACCAGTAATAAATATATAGAGAAGTGTTAATAAAGTAAGTAGGCCTATAATCATTGAAAAATGCATAAATTCCTAGTGGAGCCGAGAGCCGAGAGCCGCAAGCGGTTGGCTCAAAGAAAACAAACTCAAGAAGCAGTTTTAAAGAACGTAAAATGTATTAACCATTATTTCCATTGATACGGAATTGAAAACTCCCTCCCGAAACAAAACTGGTTAAAAAAACACGCCAATGTATAAATATATATATGCATAGGCCTATAGTAGAACGATGGAAAAAACATACTCCAGTAGAATCTCGTTCAATACGTGTGTAATGCAATGAACGTACTGTACTGAACAGTAATCAAATCACTGCGTAGTGCATTAAGCTATTGGCGCAGGGCAAGAGGCATTCGCATAGCAACTACTGTCAAGTTCATTGCACTCACCCCAACCCCCAACCCACCTGCAGTTAATTTCGGCGAACTGATGAGTCAACCCCCCTTCCCTCTTCCCCTCTCTACTTTGCTGTGGTCTAAACCTTTATAGTTATATATATATATATATAAGGGGGGGCGCTGATTTTGGGTTTGCCCAGGGCGCCACTGACCCTTAACGCGGCCCTGATCGTGAGTGTGTACGTGATACTGAAATAGATCAACTGTTACTGTCAGATTATGAAGATTTGAGTCAAGATGTTGAAGAGACTGGCGAGGACGATTGGGATGAAATAATGAATATTGGTAATGAAGACATAAGTGACAGCCAAGACGATGTAAGTGATTCTGATTTTGACATAACCCTAAATGAAAGCCAAGCTAACATGACAGTTGTAAATGACAATATTTTGAGCCATCCTGTAAATAATGTAGGCCTAAATGAAGTGCGAAACCAAATTATTGACAATGCTGATCTTGACATGTTGGATATTGAACAAAACGATGCGCTTACTGATGACTATTCTAGGCTATATCACAAAAAATCTACATGGATTTGGGACGAACCTCTAAATAACGAAGATTTTACACCAATCATTCATGATTTTACTGGACGTCCTGGCTTAAAACAAAATTTAGGCATAAGAGCTGGAGACAGCAGGTACAAGGTTTTCTCGTCTTTTTTTGACGATGAAGTAGTTTCACTTATAACGAATGAGACTAACGCCTACGCAATCGAAAAAGGTGCTATAGGTTTCCTCCCTGTTACACCAAATGAAGTCAGAGTGTACATAGCACTGTAATGGTCACATTTTATTGGGGGGTTCGTTTTAATTATTTAAAGGCCGCGAAGGCTTGAGCGCGCTTGACAACAATGTCACACATGTCCACTGCAGCTGGTCATGTCTCCTAGTTCGAGACTCGGCCGCTGTCACCTTGAAGCGCTGCCGTAGACGTGGTGGGGAGAAGCCGAGACCAGCGGACAGTGGACAGTTCTTGAGACAGTCGGCGTCGAGCGTTAGGTTCGCGCACACCAACCAACCCTCCTTAGGCCGTGCGAGCGAACCAAATAATAAGGTATCCGGACGAAGGCGAGAGTAACCCGGATGCAAATCTGGAAGTGTCGTGTTACGTAAGTACACTGTATATAGCTAGCGTATACGTTGTATTCATCCCCGTATCCACTTTGGCGAGGGAAATTGCGTTATTTATTAGGCTATTCTAGGACGTTTATCGTAGTTTATTATAGAATAACGTAGTTTATCGACCGACGCTGCGAGTGTAGTGTCGCAGTCACATACGCCGACTTTTAGTCATCCAAAGTGGTTTTGTTTTATTGTAATCAGGAGTTTTTATTTATTTTCCTTAAAGCCAAGAAGAATTGGCCTAGGTGCCTTCTACGTTTTGTTTTATTTCCTTATTTACTTATCGCGAGTTAGCGTCGTTTTCTTTTAATTCCGAGAAGATTATTTTTAGTTTTATTTCGAGAAGTGAGATCTTTCGTTAAGCCTAGGAGCTGGTTATTTATTTTATTCCCTAATCGTCGCCTATTTATCTATCAGCCCTAGTAGTTAGCTTAGACTTGGCCTTGTCAGCGCGTCGCTGTGCTGACACCAAGTTATAGGAGTAACTATAGTTAGTGTATTCCTTAATAGCAACTCGTGTACGGTGCGTCGACGTGCCGAGGTACACAGTGTGTACTTGTGGACTAGCAGATCGGCGCGACATTAACATCTACGAAGATCTAGAAGTGGTAAGCGAGTGACGAGGACTGTCAGCGAGACCCTGGACTACTCGAGCTGTCCGAGCAAATCGGAGGTAAGTTTACGATAGGTGCCCTACCCGACATAAACACCTCACAAAGTGGCGCCTCCGAACAGGGACATTGAAAGTTTCGTTATTATCGTAATATTCATACGTGCTTCACGTATTGGCGCCCGAACGGTAAAATCGATATCGTAGTGGTTTTTCTTTGGAATATAAGAAAAAGCGAAAATGGTAGGATTGAGTGTTAGCGCGAAAACTACGCCTAAAACGGTCAAAGCAGTGACTGAATCGACCACGACAACCACGACTACGACTGCAGGTTCTTTACAAGCTCAAGTAGCACAAACTATTTCACAACCAACTGTGCCATCGACTTTAAGTTTTCCCACTACGACCGCAGAGGCTACTCAGCCTCAAGTAGGTACAACTACGTCACAGTTAATGGTACCAACGACTTTAAATTTACTTACTACGACTGATCGTACGTTGACGTCTAAGAGTCCCTCAGAGGATGACCCGCGAATTGGGTGGATTCACACGTTAACCAAGGATGAACTTCGTTACGAAATGAGTCGATACGGTTTGCCTAATATGGGGACAGTCGACGAACTTCGCAAGTCGTTTTGTAAATTTTGGAAACATGGCATTCCCCGGGCAGTGTACGGTAAGGACGTGAATGATAGCGTGGACGGTGCGACTGCACTTCCACTCGGCTATGACATGGGATATGTCGACTCGCGACCGGGTAACAGTGACATACGAAGTGCTGAACTTGACAGAGTACGGGAGATAGTTGGTTTGCCTCCAGGAACCAACTTTGAGGACGTTTGTCGTTCGTTATCAAGCCTAACAATGCGCGCTGATAACAATCAGGCCAACAATCAGGCTAGTAATTATCCAGTCAATATGACACAATCAGATCGTTTTACAAATTCCGAGGGGTTAGTGTATAGTACACTAACCAGACCAAGTGTTAACTATGCTTTCGACACCTCCCACTCTACAGATTCGATTCATCGAACTACGGTGCCCGGTACCGGTCAGCGACCGTACGGTGGGTTCGCGAGCGAACAACTAGGTATAGCTACACAGGCAAGCGTGAATCACGGATTCAGTAGTGGTTTGCCTTCGTGTCACGAAAATTCGAACGTAATTCGTAAGGTTGGTGTTGATGTCTCGGCGTTGTGTAATTTAGTTCGAAAGTGGAACGTTCGTTTTGACGGCTCAAAGGACCCCGTTTCTTTCTTGGAACGCCTGGAAGAGCTTATGGAGGCCTACGAAATTAATAAGAACGATATTATACGAGCACTCCCCGAACTACTACATAGTAATGCACTGTTGTGGTATCGAAACTATAAAGACTCCTGGCATAATTATGAGTCATTTAGATCGAGTTTCGAACTACAATTCCTACCACCGGGATACCAGCGAAATCTAGACGAAGAAATTCGGCGTCGGACTCAAGGTGACAACGAAGCTTTTAGAAACTTTGTTGTGGCTTTAACTACTCTCATGCGACGCAAGGGAACCCTCAGTCTCCACGAACAATTGA